GAAAAACTTCCAGAGAAAACCCACAGTTTAAGGGTAAAATGGGAGAAACCTCAGGGAGAGCAACAGAGGAGGGATCCCTCTCCCAGGACGGACAGACGTGCAATAGATGCCGTGTGTACATCAAAGAGACAATACATTTTACAGCATATAGACCGAATGTTAGGAAATGCATGTGTCTGTAATAAGAAGATGAATCCACGAGGATGTCAGCTACAATCCTTTTGACAACCAACTAAACTATAACATATTTGATATATATACAATACAGATATACAATACTGTCTTTTTATGACTTTTGTATACTCAACAATTAGTTTTTCTGAAATACTATGCTAAGTTTTTATGACTAATTGCGAGATACTATAATATTACTTTTTATGACGAGCTCTGGTATGATTGTTTACATTTGTTCTCCTGTAAAAATACTCTTAAAATGTTCAAATAAACATGCTAATATCTATAATGTGTCTCTTATTGCTCGTGCCTCCTCCAACAGTGGATCTGGAGTCAATAAATGACCTGAAGGTGTTTGTCTCTCAGTGTTTCTGTAGTGTCTGTTGGACGGCTTCCTGAGTCCGTGTAAAGTCAGTCTGTAAAAGAGCAATAATAATGCTTTGGCTCTGAATGTCCTCCAGTGATAGGCTGCTGCAGAAAGAGCCTCACAGTAACTCCACCAACTGGAGGACAGATGGCGTTGGCTCACATTCACTTGTTATTTGGACTGAAACGTGATGCATGTTTCCACTGGTGTGAACGAACCAGCAAGGGGGGGAGGAGGAGCGGCTGCAAAGCTTTAGAAACATAAAGAATACCCATAATACACCTCTCTGGCAGCTTCATTGGAACAGATTATTTACGAGGCAGTTTAGAAAATTGAAAATATCCCAATTTAACGGTCCCCTATTATACTGTTTTTCATCAATATACAAAGCATGTCTCTGAAGTGTTTGGCTCCAAACACCAAACAGATCATTGTAGCTTTACCCATAATCCCCTCTGTTTCAGCCCTGTTTCCAAAATGCTGATTCTCTGTCTGTTACTTTAGATGAAAATAAGGAGCCACTCCCCACGCCCCTCTGAGAGAGATTTGGTTACAAAGAACACATTAAGCGCTTTCACACCGCAGTACTTTTCCCACAAAGGTTCATCAGAACTTAGTTTATGAGAACTCTTTAGTTCTCATGAACTAAGAGCAGATCGCGTTCACACCGGAATAAATCCCTGGCCTGGGAGAATTATGCAAATGTCTTCTTCTTCTTCTTCTTCTTCTTCTTCTTCTTCTTCTTCTTCTTCTTCTTCTTCTTCTTCTTCTTCTTCTTCTTCTTCTTCTTCTTCTTCTTCTTCTTCTTCTTCTTCTTCTTCTTCTTCTTCTTCTTCTTCTTCTTCTTAAAAATACGTAACTAGAAACGCTACATTAGCATCTGCGATCTTTTCTACTTCACGCTATCTGCACAAATGGGTTACATTAAACATTAAAAAGACCAGGCAGTTCAGAGAGAATCAAAAGTAGGAAGGCAGGCAGCTTTGCATGACATTCTTCTGGACGTGTTTCATTGTGGTGATAGTGAGGGTAGTCAATCCTTTTTTTGACAAGACAGTAGTGACGGCCATCTTGGTGATGTGTGTTGTTCTGCTAGACCGGAGATGTAGTTCATTCAGCGTTTCACACAAACAAAAGTGTTACTTCACAGTTTTACGACACATTTTTTTTTTTTTACTTGCAAAATTATCTTTTAAATTGACAAACATCATATGTGTAATTCGTGGCACAATTCAAACGGGATCGAAAGATAATCTTTCTCTCTCCATTGACTTCAATACCATTTTTTCCCCAAATAAGGTCCACCGGAAGGGGAGGGACTTCGCCTCTCTATAGTGCCACCCGAAGTCCCCGGCCGGAAGTCCCCGGAGTTGGGGACTGGCTTCAGTTAGTCTCTCTAAGTTTCTGCACTTGGCTAATGCTAATGCTAATAATGCTAATGTGAGGATAATAAAATGGCGGCTTCACTAAACTTTTTGGGAGTTTTACGGGGCGTGGTTTGCAATCCGCCCAGCCAATCAGACATAGGAACCTTTTTCTCCCACGAAAGTCCCTGCTCTCTAGCAGGGATGGAAAAGGCGGTAAAAAGGTTCTCATGAACACATTTTAGTTCTGGATTTTTTTTGGTGTGAACGCAACATTTCGGAACTATATCGGAAACTAAAGTGGGAAAAGTACTGCGGTGTGAACGCGCCTAACCCCTAGATTCCACCGGGTCCGTCTGCGCCGCGTTACGGCTGCGCCGCGGTTTTGGTCCGGCCTCCTCCGGCGTCATACCCTACCGGACGCGTTTCAGAAGCATTTCAGAAGCGGAGCGTCTTGCCTGCCGGCTCGCAGTTTTTGTTGATTTGGGCATATTTCCTGGACAGGCTACTTTGTACAGACATAGTTAATAATAATTATAATATCCCAGTTATAAACGACATGAATCAAAGATGTGTTGCTGTATTTTAGTGGTAAAAAAATGCATTTATCATCATAATTATTCTATATAATGTACACAGTGCCTGTAAACCGGAGGAGAACGCTGGCATTTCTCCTCCTACTTGAAAGACTACGGAGGGATAGGGTCTGCAAAATTAGTTTGTGTGTGTATATAATATATGCTATATACTCCAGCAATTAAAAACCAGGCCTTGTCCTTTCTGATGTTGTCCTTGTAAAAAGCATTGGTTACATCATATAAAATAGTGTGTTTTTCCACCTCCAGAATGAAAAGCTCCTCGTCCATTGTGCGTGTCGTAGTGAAGGTGTTGTGATGAAGGAGGGGGGTCTGCAAAATTAGTATATGTGGGGGATGGGCCTGGCCCGGATGCTCTGACCGTTCCACTTCCTGCCTATGTTACGGCTGCGGCGCGATAAAAATAGGATTCATCCTAATTTTAGAAGAGCCCTGCGCCGAGCCGCTTCTGGGACGCTTCTGAGCCGTAACACGCCGCGTGTGGTGGAATAGCACCCATTGACTAGAGTGGCCGCGATCGCTGTGAGCACCGTGGCGCAGCCGTAACCCCCAGTTTCCACCGGGTCCGTCTGCGCCGCGCTGCGCCGTGTTACGGCTGCGCCGCGGTGGTCGTAAGGATCGCGGCCACTCTAGTCAATGGGTGCTATTCCACCACACGCGCCGCGTTACGGCTCAGACGCGTCCCAGAAGCGGCTCGGCGCAGCGCTTCTCTAAAATTAGGATGATTCCTATTTTTGCCACGGCGCAGCCGTAATATAAGGTCGGGCAGGCAGCCCCCCCTCGCAGGAAGTGAAAAGGTGAGCATCCGGGCCAGGCCCATCCCCCACATATACTAATTTAGCAGACCCCCCTCCTTCATCACAACACCTCCACTACGATACGCACAATGGACGACGAGGTTTTCATCATGGAAGTGGACTATTACAATTATTATTAACTGTGTCTGTAGACTACAACACAACAAAATAGGAAATTTATAACAACAATAAACACAATTTAAACAGACACAAAAATAAAACATTTAACTACGTAGCCTACTTACTTTCTTGTAGAAGTACAAATGTCCAGGATGCCCGAATCAATAACAAAACTGCGAGCCTCCACGCACGACGCTACGCTTCTGAAACGCTTCTGGGACGCGTCCGGTGGGTTATGGCGTTAGAGGAGGTCGGACCAAAACCGCGGCGCAGCGCGGCGCAGACGGACCCAGTGGAAACTGGGGGTAACGCGCCCATAACGCGCCGCAGACGGACCCGGTAGAATCTAGGGGTAATGGTGCTCTAGGAGAAGATTCAGGTGATAAGGTGGGGGTCACCTTGGTTGGTGATTGGCTAATGGTTACACAAGACAAAACATTGTTATGACATCATATAAAGTGGCCAAAATCTGATCAGCTCATTTTCAGACAGGTTTTTATATAAATGGATCAGGACAAAAAGAGAGGGGGTCTTTTTTAATGAAACTTTCAGAATCTCTTTACACAGAGATGTTGATTGATTTTGCATAATAGGTGACCCTTAAGAAAAGAACGACCGATCACTGTTACTGATGTCGGTCCTCTCTGGTGTTTGGAGTTAGTGTCTACACCTGTCAGCAATTTAAAGATATTAAATATTTGAAGGCCCATGTCAAGTTTAGAAATGGGGGGATACAGTCGACCCTCAGATCTACAGGTTTATTGAAGGCTAATCACATGGACAGCGGTAACGTGGCTAATGTTATGCTATCTGAATGCTAACCAAACGTTGGCATATCATGAATAATTGATCTCCCATATATGTACGTATAAGCCTACTGTGATATCTCCTGAATCATATTTCCCAGTGCAGTGCTCTGTTCCTGTAGTGCAACACATTCAGCGTCTCTTGCGGATGTTGCTACGTCTCCCTGTTTAAACGAATAAAATGTAAACCCATGGTCCTTTTTTTGTTTTGTTCGTTGGTCATAGGAGGGACATAACAGTTCCTAAGAACGATGTACAAACGTTTAATGTAATAAAAGTTACGCTACTACTTCGCTCCCTGTATGGATGGACGACGTCTTTTCCCCATTGGAGAAAAGTAAAGTGGACTGTGAGGGTGTCCAGAGAGGAGCCTGTTTTATTATAGTATCAATCCTATGACAAAATCCATATTATTGCACGTGCTGCTTATCTAAAGCCACTGAGAGCAGGGACATATTGTTTATGCAAATGTAAACGCTATGCACAAGGGCACAGAAGTCCCTCTCTTACACAGGGTCTGCAGATAAAAACAGCTGATCGTTGGGTTGCTTTACACCCGGGCTTTAAAAGAGACGTAGCAGCAGCAGAGAGGGCGGAGGAGTCATCATTATCTCCATGTTCACACCAGAATAAAAGTGCAGCGTGGCTCTGTAACAAAGGCAACATCAGCAGAGCCTCGCCCGTCCCTTTCCACCCAGAGAAGAAACATTAATAACCCCCCCCCCCCACGACATCGCAGATTACACACAGACACACACACCATGTAAAGACCAGGATTGCATTTAATCAGGAGACTAAACAAGGTAACAGTATTTCCTTAGAGTTACATAAAACAAATCAGGCTACATTTATAAAAACCTTAGATTACTATCAGGATTAGCGTGTTAGTAAAAAGAGCATATTTGTTGTAAAAGGATCAGATGTTATCTCTTCTCTGTAAACTGTACTGTTCTGTAGGATAATACTTGTGAATCTATACTTCTCCTGCCTGAATCTGCTTTATGCTTTTCACTTTCTTTGGTTAATTTCCTCCGGGTTCAATTCAGCAGGTGAACCTATGTTCATTAAATAGTGTGTGTGAAGCTTACTGTGTGTATTAAACTAAAACTGTAATATGTGTAAGTAAGACAGCCACCAAGTACCAGGACTTGGTCCCTCAATGCAGGGACAAAGGGTGGCAGGCCTGGCCTTTCCAAGTTGAGGACGACTGCAGGGGCTTCACAGTGCAATCTGTGTGGAAGATGCTCTGGGAACAGCTGGTAGGGAGTCAAAAACAGCTGCTCTTAGGTTGAGGGAGGCAGTGGAAAGAGCCTCTTGTTGGCTCTGGAACAGGCGTGAAGAGTTGTGCTGGAAGCCAGGGGAGGATGACCCGCCAACAGAAGGACACTGTGGTTCAGGGTCGAAATGTCCGATGAAAGTTGGACAGAGGTGGGAAGTAGTGGAGCACAAATACTTTGTTACTGTACTTAAGTACATTTTTCTGGTATATACTTTACTCCACTACTTATTTTTCTGACCACTTTTTACTTTTACAACACAAATACCTGTACTTTCTGAGATTCTATCTGTTGTGCACCGTCAAAAGTGCTAGTCAATCGTGTTTCATGTTTATTTTGTATTGTTTTTCACTTCCTGTTTTGTTTTTGTCACGTCTCATTTCAGGTCCCTTGACTCCCTTTCCTCATGTGTTCTCCCGCCCTCATCAGTATCAGCCCCGCCCCTGATTGTGTTCACCTGTGTCTTGTTGTTGAGTGTTTAAATTCCCCAGTCTCCCAGCGTTCAGTGTCAGTTCGTCTTGTCCTGTCCTCATGACAGAGCTATGCTCTTCAGCTCGTTTTGATTCAAAGCCTATGTTGGCTCCTGAAACTTATTATAAGTTTAGTTGTGAGCGATTTTCTGTTTTGCCTTGCTCAAACCTTTTTTGTCATCTCTTAAGAGTGATCTTCTTTTGTTACCTATTTTGTGCAAATAAAGTATCTTAATTGTACTTTACCTTTGGCTCCCGGGTCGTGCATTTGAGTCCTTATCCTTGTGTAGCCAAGTTCATAACAGAACGAACTGACCACAATGGACTCAGCCGACCCAAAAAACTCTTCACGCCGCCCTGTCAGCCCAAGGCGCGAGGATTTTTGTATCACGAGGAACAGCTGGGATTAATCAGCCAAGGAGTGCAGACACTGGTAGGAAACCAGGCCGAACTTCAAGTTTCCGTCTCTGCACAGATACAACAGCTGACGAATCAGATGCAACAGTTCATCACTCACCTTCAGACTGCTCCGCCGATGACGTCAGTCATAGCTGACCGCCTGCATGTCGCGGATCCTGTTGGCTCTCCCGGAGAGGTTTTCCGGTGATTACATCAATAGACCTATCGCTAAGCCACGCCCCCTTTGAAAACTCGGACAAACAAAGCCGACCGTGAATGACTCTTGACAATGGCCGCGGGGGGAGTTCAAGTTAAAATAACATTAAAATAGAAGCAAGAGCTAATAAAAGCAACAGCAGATGAAAGTTAACAGTTAAAAGCAAGAGTAAAAAGGTAGCCATGTATTTCTTTATATAAAATATCTAATCTTGTTGCCTGTCGTGTGTAGTGGTGACTTGTGTAACCATTGAAATGATAATATGATGTTGAATGTTAGCAGTGGTGGTCACTACATTAAATCTATAACTATAACTGTCCTTGTTGGTCATCATTTTCACTGTTATGCACCTGGCTGACTGTAGCGTTACCTTTTTTTGGGTGAGGGTCTGTGTCTTTTCGGAGCAGCACACACGAGAGCCCGGATGGGATCTGATATTCCAGAGTTGGCTTCCCATCTCTGAAGTGCTTTGAGGTGAAAAGACAGTTAGCAAAAGTTAGCTAAAAACACCAGCTAACTAGCGAGGACGAAAAGTCAGACAGCAAACGTTGATGTTGATAACACTGTAGCTAGTTAGCTGGCTAACAAGTTGGCAGCTAACGTTAGCTAGCTGGGCTGGATATACGCTAGCTAGTTGGCAGTCAAAGTCAATCGTTAGCAAACTAATAGTTTGGTCTACGTTTCTAATACATACCGTCAAATATGATGTCTTTATGAATTGACCTTACCTTTGAGCAAACATAAGTGTCCTTGATAATTGTCTTCACATTCAGTTGTGTATGTGGTTGACGACACAGCATAATCCACCGCTTGCATTTGTCGAGTTTTCTTTTGGGCTTCGGAAAAGGTACGAAATATACTCCTCCATCCAGTCTTTCAGGGTACCTGGTGTCCGAAATTACAGGTACCCCACGCACAGCGTTTCACCATCAGATATTAGCTAGATAATAAACATAGAAACTGAACTCTTCACAGTGGTTTCGATCACAGACGTCTGGTTTTGGTTTGATGCACCCCACAAACGGCTTTTCTGGTGATGTCCGAGTTTTCTGTCAGGAGGGATTTTCGCTGTGATATGATTGGACAAATTCTATTTGGGGCGTGGTTTAGCAATAGGTCTATTGCAGAGCTTTCCTAGTGCAGTGCGACCTGCATTTCCAACACAACCCAGGCGCTTTTTCATCAGACGTGAAAGTGGCATTCATTGTGTCCCATTTAACGGGAAGAGCTGCAGCCTGGGCTACTGCAGAATGGTCCAGAGACACGGAACTATGTTACTCATTACCCGACTTCACAGACACTATGAGTCGTATTTTTGACCATTCATCACCTGCAACAGAAGCCAGCCGAAGACTACTGCAGATGCGGCAGCATAAACGCCAGGTGGTGGATTATGCTATCGAGTTTCGCACGGCAGCAGCGGACAGCGGGTGGAATATTCCGGCTCTTCCCGACGCTTTTCTGACTGGATTATCAGTTCCAATCAAGGACCAGCTGGCTCCCCTGGAGGTACCCCGGGACCTGGAATCTCTCATCGCCGTTTCCATCCGGATCGACAACCGTCTTCGGGAAAGAGAGAGAGAACGTCGACGCAGCCGTGACGTACATCCCAGTTTCCAGGGCTTTTCTCCGCGAGCCTTTCCACCAGGGGAGGTTTTCCAGCCAGCGGATTCGGTCCGTTGGAGGACAGCGCCTCCGCCTGATGCAGATGAACCCATGCAGTTGGGAAGGACCAGGCTTTCCATGGAGGGGAGACAGCGCCGGCTACGAGAAGGGTCTTTCTACTGTGGCCAGCCGGGTCACCAACTCGCGTCATGTCCGGGAAAAGAGCAAGCTTACCAGCCAAGAGGAGGGCGCTGGTGAGCAAGTTTCCCACAGACTTTCCTCCTCGTCCAGTTACCAAGGTAAACATTTTTATTAATGATCAGATCATTACCCAAGGAGTGCTAATAGACTCAGGAGCGGACGAAAGTCTTATGGATTGGGGCATAGTCCAGCAGCTTGGTATAAAGACTGTTCCTCTATTTTCCCCATTAACGCCAGTGCTTTAGACGGACGTTTGTTGTTTACAGTCACCCACTGCACAGAACCTATCCAGATCACTGTAAATAATGACCACACTGAAGTTATGCAGTTTCACATTTTTTAATCGGCTCAGCATCCGATTATTTTGGGTTTTCCGTGGTTAAAAATCCACAACCCACACATTGACTGGCGCTCAGGAAAGGTTAAGGAGTGGGGAGAGGATTGCATTAACAGGTGTAAACATTCACGCTCTGTTAAAGCACCAACAGACCCTAGTAGGATCGTCATAGATCACCCAGACTATCCTGACCTACAGAAAGTACCGTCATGTTATCATGATCTAAAGGAAGCCTTTAACAAATCAAAAGCCATGTCGTTACCTCCTCACCGACCTTTTGATTGCCCCATTAATCTCTTACCGGGGGCTCCCATTCCCAAGGGAAAACTGTATTCGATCTCAAGGCCAGAGAGGGCGGCAATGGACGACTACATTTCCTTTTCTCTTAAATCAGGGATTATCCGTCCTTCATCTTCCCCAGCTGGAGCGGGGTTTTTCTTCGTAGGAAAAAAGGACGGTTCTCTGAGACCTTGCATAGACTACAGCCCTCTTAATGACATTACGGTGAAAAACCGCTATCCTCTGCCACTCATGTCCTCTGCTTTCGAGCTACTTCAGACTGCCAAGATTTTTACCAAGCTGGATTTAAGAAATGCATATCACTTGGTTAGAATAAGGGAAGGGGATGAGTGGAAAACAGGATTTAAAACTCAGAGCGGTCACTATGAATACCTTGTGATGCCTTTTGGACTGTGTAATGCACCGGCTGTGTTTCAGGGTTTTGTGAATGAGGTTTTGCGGGAATTTTTGAATGTTTCTGTGTTTGTGTACCTTGATAACATTTTGATTTTCTCACCAGACTCTAAGTCCCATGTTCACCATGTCCGTCAGGTTCTGCAGAAACTACTCGAAAATCAATTATATGTCAAGGCAGAGAAGTGTGAGTTTCACGTAGAAAAGGTGGTCTTTCTAGGATATATAATCTCACCAGATGCAGATGGAACCTGCTAAAGTCAGTGCAGTTTCCAAGTGGCCAACACCAGACTCCAGGAAGAAGGTTCAGCAGTTCTTGGGGTTTGCAAACTTCTACAGAAAGTTTATAAGAAACTTCAGTTCTGTAGCTGCTCCTCTTCATGTTCTGACTTCTTCCAAAGTTCCCTTCAAGTGGACTCCCCAGGCTGACTGCGCTTTCCAGCTCCTCAGGGAGAGGTTCACCACAGCGCCGATTCTCACCATTCCGGATCCCCAGCGCCAGTTTGTGGTCGAGGTCGATGCTTCCAATGAGGGAATTGGAGGCATTTTGTCCCAAAAATCCTTGAAGGACAACAGAATACACCCATGTGCCTTCCTGTCGCGGAAGCTGACGACGGCAGAGAAGAACTACGATGTGGGAAATAAGGAACGGTTAGCTGTAAAAGCTGCTCTTGAGGAATGGAGACACTGGTTGGAGGGGGCAGAGCAGCCGTTCTTAGTTTGGACAGACCATAAGAACCTGGAGTATATCAGAAAGGCTAAACGCCTCAACTCTCGGCAGGCCAGGTGGACTCTATTTTTCAGTAGGTTCAACTTCACTCTCTCTTTCCGCCCCGGATCTCAGAATCAGAAGCCTGATGCCTTGTCTCGCCTTTTCGAACCAGAACCCTTTTCTGTAGAGCCCAAGACCATCCTTCCATTAAACCGTATGGTCGGAGCTTTTTCCTGGCAACTAGAGTTGGACGTTAAACAGGCTAACACATTAAACCCAGTACCTAGCAAGTGTCCAAACCACCTGCTCTTTGTTCCTGTGTCTCTCCACTCCAAGGTCATCCACTGGGCCCACACGTCGGTGATCTTGTGCCACCCTGGAGTTAAAAGGACTATGTACAGGATTAAGCAGCGTTTCTGGTGGCCAGCCATGAAGAAGGATGTGCAGGAGTACGTAGCGGCTTGTCCGGTGTGTGCCTGCAATAAAACCTCGTCCCAGGTCAAGATGGGTTTGCTCCAACCACTGCCGATTCCTCAATGTCCCTGGTCACATATATCTATGGACTTTGTGACAGGTCTCCCCTTGTCCAGAGGCAAAACTACGGTTCTGACAGTGGTGGACCGGTTCTCCAAGATGGTTCATTTCATTCCGCTAACCAAGACCCCCTCTGCCAAGAGTACCGCAGAGGTCATGATGAACCAGATATTCAGGATCCACGGATTTCCAAATGACATTGTTTCCGACAGGGGTCCACAATTCATTTCAGCCTTCTGGAAGGAGTTTTGCAGACTCATAGGCGCTACTGTCAGCTTGTCTTCAGGTTACCACCCTCAATCAAATGGACAGTCGGAGCGCCTGAATCAGGAACTGGAGACTACACTACGCTGTCTCGTTTTCTAGAGCCAGACCAACTGGAGCGACCACTTCACTTGGGTGGAGTTTGCCCACAATACTCTTCCCACGGCGGCCACAGGTCTCTCGCCTTTCCATTGTGCCAATGGTTATCAACCGCCGCTGTTCTCAACCGACGAAGGGGAAGTTACGGTACCATCAGCTCACGCCTTGATTAGACGCTGTCGCCGAGTTTGGGCTGCAGCTCGCCAATCTCTGCTTCGAAGTTCGACTCGGATGAAGGCTGTAGCAGATGTCCACCGCAGGGCCGCTCCCATCTACAAACCGGGTCAAAAGGTGTGGCTTTCCACCAAGGACCTACCACTTTAGGTGGCTTCCAAGAAGTTGACTCCAAGGTTTGTGGGGCCTTTTCCGGTGTCAAGAGTCATCAATCCGGTGTCTGTGCGCCTAAGACTTCCCAGACCCATGGGGGTACATCCTACATTCCACGTCAGCAAGATAAAGCCAGTTCATGAGAGTACCCTCAGTTCGTCTTGTCCTGTCCTCATGACAGAGCTATGCTCTTCAGCTCGTTTTGATTCAAAGCCTATGTTGGCTCCTGAAACTTATTATAAGTTTAGTTCCTCACGTTGTGAGAGATTTTCTGTTTTGCCTTGCTCAAACCTTTTTTGTCATCTCTTAAGAGTGATCTTCTTACCTATTTTGTGCAAATAAAGTATCTTAATTGTACTTTACCTTTGGCTCCCGGGTCGTGCATTTGAGTCCTTATCCTTGTGTAACCAAGTTCATAACACTATCTCAATGCTTTTATCTGTTAAATAAAAAACTTTCTACTTCTTACATTTTGAACACAAATACCTGTACTTTCTACTTCTTACATTTTCCAAACAGGCTGGTTCCTTTAGTTTGAATGTGTGTTTGGTGGCGTGATCATTATTATTTAGAGTCATTGCGTGCCAATTGGTTTGAACACGATCCGTGTATCCATCATTTCCTGGTCTTCTCTAAAGAAGAGGGACCAATGGAAACGTTGTCATGTTGCCGTTGTTCAGCATGGAAACATTCATTAGCTAACAATGACATTATTGTTCTATTAATATAAAGGGAGGGCAGGTACTCTTTAAAGCAGCTGGTAGTTATGGGTACTTTTCACTTAAGTACATTTTGAAGCCCATACTTCTTTACTTTTACTTGAGTAAAGACGTTTAGTCAATACTTCTACTTTTACAAGAGTAGTTATAAACACGGGTATCTGTACTTCTACTTGAGTAAAGGATGTGTGTACTTTAGCCATCTCTAGAGTTGGACCCTCCCTGACGACATCCTCTCCTGGCCGAAAGCCTCAGTCAATAGTATATATCTGAAGGTGCTAGCATTAGATGTATTTAATAGTGCTTATGTTTCATTGTTGGAGTATATACTACTGCCTGAATATGCTGAATGAAAGGCAGGTTTTCCTATAAATCATTTCTGATCCTAAATATTTAGTTTAGTTATTTTCTAAGGTCACATTGTTGTGGTGTCTTAAAAATACACTTCAGTGAAAAACATCTTATTGATAATTCCTTCTTGTGTTTATCTGCATTGCATTTGATATTGAGGTAATCCAAACATAAAGGAAGTAATCAGGTTAGGTTACTTAGATTACACTTTTATTAAAGGTAACAAGTTATTGTAAGGGATTGCATGTGTATTTGATTCACCTAGATATGTGTACGGTGGAAAACTTGAACTATTTCATCATTTATATGACTTCCAACCCCAAAGGGGAGAAGAAGCAGATCGGGTGACACAAAGGACAGACATTTTCATTAAGCAGAGAGCACATTTTCCTGAACAGGCAGCAATGGATGAATACTTTATTTTGTTCACGAGTAAAAGTAATCTCCAATAATTCGAAGGACAAAGAACTGGTCAAATAAAAACTGTATTCAACGTCAAATAAACTATTTGGAAAAACAAGAAAAGGTGTTTAAACCATGGAGACAGTAGAGCCAACAATGTATAACAACCTGAACATAAGAATAACAGGGCCTCTTTAAACTCAATTAGGAATGCAAATGAAACCCAACAAATGGAGCTCAGATATGATAATGTGGAACTTTTTGTGAAAGTGTTTAATATTCAGCAGAGATAGCCCTCGAGCTCCATCCTGTCACATGAAGTGCGACGCCAACAAAACAAAACCAGAACAGACCGAAGCTTTAAAACAGATCGGCGGGCAGAATTAACAACATGCCAGAGAACAGACGATGGGAGGAACCACATCGTGTGTTCATCATAAAAATCCTCTGCACCTACACAACACGCTCCGTCGTCACCTCTGCACACAGCTTCAAACGCTCAGACCTGTAATCTCTTTTCCAGTGTTAAGGCACAAACTATTGCTCTGTTAATACAGGAATATAAATGATCTTTGGTTACTGCAATGTCATTTAAACAATCATAACATATTAAAGGTGCTGCTGCTTTGAATGCTATTAAACAAACTTACATTTTTTAGGTTTGTGCATCATAACTCCCAGAAGAGTGAAAGAAATAAAACGAACCAACAGAACGGAGCATGCAACCTGCAGCAGCAAAACTCTAAAGTAAGCCTTTCAAAGTGCACATTTTGTATCTTAAAGCCACATCTTTTTACATGTGGGAAAGACCGTGTTACATCACAGAGGTTTTTGGTTTCCAGCTGAGAAACAGATTCAACTTAAATAAACTAAACGGTTTGAAAATGACAGTAAAGTAAAATCACATTTATGAAACATGATTACAGTGCTTAAAGGGATAGTTTGACATCATGTTATATTACTGAAAGTTAGATGAGAAGATTGACACCTATGTGTGCTAAATATGGAGCTACAGCTAGGGGGAAGGTTAGCTTAGCATAGAGACTGTAAATTGCCCTGTAAAACGGTTAGCCTAGCTTAGCATAGAGACTAGAAATGAAGGGAAACTGCTGGCCTGGCTCTCTCCATTGGTAATAAATTATCGGAGTAGTGTTACATAAAATCAATGTCTTATCTTTGGTTTGAATAAAAACCGACATACATATTTTTTATGGTGGGCCAGATAAAATAAATCTACAGCTAGGAGACGGTTAGCTTAGCTTAGAGACTGGAAACTGCTAGCATGGCTCTGTAAAAGGTTGTTAACAATCTGAGTGCCATTACATCAAGACCTTCATAATCAACTTGTTTTATTGTTAGTTTACTCTTCTTTTAAAACTCTTATTTAAAATACATTTTGGGGGGGGGGGGGGGGGGGGGGGTATGCTGGAGTATTTCGGGGCCGGATGCATTCAGTCTATATAAAAATACACGATAACAAATACGTAAATTCTCCCATGTAACTCTTTCTTAGGGCTGCGACAAACAGCTTGAATGTTCTTTAATCCTCCAATGACTCTAGATTAATGGTAAAATTTGAGAAAATATTGAAAAATGTCCATCCCAGTTTCTCAAAGTCCAAGGAGATGTAAATGTAGAGATATTTAAAATCGACTAATTGTTGCAGCTCAACTGTAAAAAAAAGTAAATATATGTATTTACTAAAATGTCAAACTATTCCTTTAATGTGCCACTGCTATAACAGGTTTAATGAGTCAGAATGAGCATAATTACTGGTAGATTGTTGCTGTATAATAGCTTTTTTGGTGTACTTATAATGCATGATGAATAAAGTTCTCATAATTCTTCAGTGGAATGTACTGCAGGACAGATCAGCTGTAAATTCGATAAACAGTCTTAAAACAATTAGCAAACAAATGTTCGCAAATCCAGCAAAAAGACTGCAACGCGCACGGAGCCACGACACCGATCTGCTGATTTATGTAAAGATAAAACTCTTTGAGAATCTGTACTGCGAAATGTTTATGTAGAAAAACATAAAGTCGCTCTTCTCAGGAGTATAAAAACACTGATTAAAGGAAAATAAACTCCTTAAAAAAGGCAGCTGTGGAATAAAACAACTACTGAGATGCATACAAATTTACCAACAGGAAGTATTCCAGTTCTTCCATTATAAAAAACTTCCAAAATATAAAGTACCTATGTGTCTCTCTTATAAAAGAATCTCAATAAAATTAGATTTTTATATAAAAACTAGCGTGCAAATTGGAGTCTGAGCATCATCTTTAAGACATCAGGAGGTTTGATCGGACTTCAGTCTCTCCTCCGAGTTTCTCGAGTATTTGACGGAGAACGAGTCTCCGTCGGGGGGAAACTGAATGCCGTCTGACGGGGAGAGCAGCGGCGTGGAGGTGATCCAGGAGGAAGCATCTAAAGTCTGATCCAGGCAGTCTTTGGAAGCAGGAGGAGCAGCGTCTTTGGTATAAGGCAGAGTGTCTTTATCTGCAGAGGGGAGCTCCTTCTCACTGTCTGTGTGCTGCTGCTTTTTATTGCTAAAGGAAGTCTTGCCGAGTGACAGGAAGTGAGGCTTAGGGCCGAGCGGCGACCCCGCCTTGACCCCGCTGAGGCTCAGGATGTTTCTCCGGGTTTCGTAGGGGAGTGTATCCAACTGCCTGCCGACCTGCACCGGGCTGGGGAACAGCGTGCCCTGACACGCCCTGTAGAAATATCTGGAAGCAAAACAGAGACACGTATTAGACGGAAATACTCCCCTGCAAAACATCTCAGAAACTTCTCACAGCAATAACTGTAGCCAGGGAAGTGAAAATGATCAATTTACCACTACTTTAATCTATTTAAGAGGACATATTATGCTCATTTTCAGGTTCATATCAGTATTTCGTGTCTCTACTGTGACATGTCTTCATGCTTTAATGTTCAAAAAGCGCTTTATTTTTCTCATACTGCCTCTTTTCACCCTCTGTCTGAAACCAGAGCCCAGACTGCTCTGATTGGTTAGCTGGCCGGCTCTGTTGTGATCTGTCAACCACTTAGAGATGTCCCGCCCCTTAGCCTTATCACGTACAATGTGCTGGAGCAATAGCCAATAGATGCACGAGTGTTCATTCGTGATGTCTATGTTTTGGAAGTAAACAAAGATCACACTAAAGGGAAGTGAAAACCCCAAAAAGAAAAATAGGACCTGTTTAAAGAACAGCATTACTTCAAACAGTAAAAGAATGCCGGCTCTTTGGATAAACCTGGAGAACATCTGGTGCAGAGAGAGCTCGTTGCATGGGTCATAAAATAGAATTAAATAACTAAATAAATCTAAGGGGAGTGGGTATTCAGTGAGACACAGATGGGCGGGGGGGGGGGGGTACCTGGGCAGTAGAGCGGCTGCAGGTGTGATCACACACAGCAGGTAGAACAGGGGGTCCTGCAGGAGGCGCTGCATGCTCCAGTACGGGTTGGAGGGGGAGTAGCAGGTGGGGCAGGAGGCGTTGTAGCACAGCGCCACGGTGAAGAACAACGAGATGCTGAAGCAGATGCACAGCCAGTTCATCCACGTCTGAGGGAGAGGACACGGAGGAGGGGCATTAGCTTTGTATTCGATTCAAATACACCAGGATGGACATTCAAAGCCTTAAAACAAGAAACAAAATGTCTGAATGTGTCGGTCGCATAATTTAGAATGAAGGACACAAAAAATATCACACAAAACTGATTTAAAAGAAAATCTATACGACCTTCCCTGAAGCACTTTTTACCTTTTTCTTTTGCACTTTTTAGTCATTGAAATGGTTTGTCCATACATATATTTGGGGTAAAAGTTTACTAGATGACTTAAATCCAAAAGTAGATTACATGAATGACATCAAAACATTTAAAAGGTAAATACATAACTACATAATTTATGTCCATTATTTTTTTTATTTGATCCAATAACTTTTATTATTGTATTTATTAGCATTTGTCTAACCTCAACTATTTTCCTCTAAATAAAAGAAGGAAAACAAAATGTTACTTTAATTTATTTCCATATATCCGTTATTTTCGTACTTCAAAATAAAAGCATGCAGTCTGTATGAGCTGCGATCTATCTTAATGATAAGAGATAAGAAATATTCATTTGATATTTGTAGTATTTATTTGCTGCAGATGTTTGCCTCTGAAGCACTTCAATACTTCTATCAGATATTTTACATTGGTTGATATTTGGATTTGGATACAATTTATTTTGCAGCCCTATCTAGAACATATCATACATTCAAGCAGGTGAAAAAAACCTATACCCTCTCAACCAACTTCCTCCTGACTGCTTTTCTGTTTTTCTTTGTGGCTTTGTTTTTGTTTCGTTTGTCTACCCTCCCTCCCAAATGTAAAGCGTCTTTGGGTTCAAGAAAAGCGCTATAGAAATAAAATGTATTATTATTATTATACATTCGAAAGGTATTAAAGTGCACCTATCATGCTATTTTTAGGCATATATTATGGGTCTCAGATATATAAAAACTAGGGCTGTCAGTCGATTCAAATAGTTAATCGCGATTCATCGCAAATTAATTGCACATTTTTGATCTGTTCTAAATGTACCTTAGAGGAATATTTTTCAAGTTTTTAATACTCTTATCAACATATGAGTGGACAAATATGCTTTATGCTAATGTTTATTATCATTTGAACAATGACAAATATCTCATGAATATTAAACACAACAACCTCTGAACATTACAAATATTCGCCTCAATTCAACCTGGAACCTCTCTCATTCAATAATACAATACAAATGGTGTGTGTGTGTGTGTGTGTGTGTGTGTGTGTGTGTGTGTGTGTGTGTGTGTGTGTGTGTGTGTGTGTGTGTGTGTGTGTGTGAGATGGATCATTGGAGCTATGTGCAACTCAAGGCATATGCTCGAACCGGAGCTGCCTGGACGCTGCAATCATGTTGCGCACTATCCGTGCTGAGTGTGCTGACTTCTCGTACAATGTCCCACTGTCTGGCTTCCTGCATAAAGTCAAGTGCTCGGCGCAGTTGTGGCGAAATGTCGCTCCTCTGTTTTCATTTAAACAGCTCCATATCCGTTAGCGCAGCTAGCTAGCACCAGATGCTAACAACAACAATGCACGTAAGGTCTCTCTCTCGCTCGCTCGGGCCACATATACACACACCCTCCCGGTCCTCCAGATGGCCAGTCGGTGCCTGCCGGTGAGCGTGGAAGTGTGGTCTGCCACAAGCGGGCGACAGGAGCAGGGCTCTCAGCATCAGCTTGAAGATGGTATTTTAAACTCGATGCGCTCTGAAACTACGGGGCGGCCGAGGACAAAAAATACACATGCGTTAATCGCGTTAAAATAATTAGTGGCGTTAATTTTTTTTTGCGTTAACGCGTTATTAACGCGTTAACTTGACAGCCCTAATAAGAACATATCAAAACATGTCTATGATGCGCTTTGCTCAAAATACAAACATATCATGCATTTTAGACATCCCTCATATCCCTCTGTTTTAGCCCCGTTAGAGAAACGCGGATTTTGGGTTCTTAGCTAAAAAGAAAAGAAAAAAGGAGGCGGAGCTAATGCCTGATCAGAATTCTACCGGAGATAAAGTTACATTCTGCTGTGATAAAACGCCATCCTGTTCTAAACCACATCAAGGATTATTTCTGAAACAGTATGGAGCTCAAATGCTTTTTCTCTTGCGGGTTTATCACAAGGTGAGTTCCTTTCTTTATTTCCTGCTTTCTAAACACGTGCTCTCCAGTACAGGTTAGCTCTGAGTGTTAGCGAGGCTTGCTAATGTAAACAAAGACGAGATTACGTCCAAAACACGTCAGGCATTGTGTCTGATAGCAACACTCTGTGGGTCAACCATCCGAAACTACGTCATATCGGCAGCAAATCTGTATCCGCTCGTTGTACCCCCGTTTTTAAAAGATGTGGGTACGGAGGAAAAGGGTTTTATTTTCTGACGCTGCGTGAGTTCCCTGAAGCACCGGGGACACATATTGATGCATAAAAGACATCAAAAAGTGCATTTTGCATGATAGGTCCCCTTTAACAAGAAACCTGCACACAAATCATTTTATATTCTCTTTTCAAGCTGTTACAGCAAAACTGTCCTCATGCCCCCATGACTGACGGACATCTGACAAGGTGAATGCTATAAAGAGTGTGTATTGTCCCACACACACACACACACACACACACACACACACACACACACACACACACACACACACACACACACACACACACACACACACACACACACACACACACACACACACACACACACACACACACACACACACACACACACACACACACCACACACACACACACACACACACACACACACACACACACACACACACACACACACACACACACACACACACACACACACACACACACACACACACACACACACACACTTAATTACAGCCTCACAGCTCCTGCCTGCTGTCATCTCAAGTACCTTTAATTGACTTTCACAGCGTTTTCCCATCATGCATTATGCTCCGGAGCAGCAGGAGATGTTACCTGCCGCTCACCGTGAAAACCTCTCTGTGCAGAAAAAGACATTTTCAACATGTCGGGGGGGGGGAGATTTACAGCCTCAGCATAATGGAGGAGACTCTGATCCACTGCACGGTCGTACATTTAAAATGGATCCTGACCAGCACGTTTACGGGAAACATGTGGACACCCGAGAGTAAAACCAAGAGAGGCAGGGAGGGAGTATATAAATATTTTGGAGCATTGGGCGGAGGCAGTTTGCTGTCAGAGTGATTTACAGCCTCTGATTCTTAAAGCTTTCTGATCCACTTTCATCCACTGCGGGAAAATGTTTCTTCATTTGAGTGAGAAACAGCAGCACAGAGAGAGAGAAGCCTTTCCAAGTGATGAAATCTTATAATTACACCGCTTAGTTGAACACTTGATTCTGATTGGTCGATTATGACATTCTGGAGGTTTGTTATGTTTACTGTTGCCTAGGAGGATCAAGGGACTATGTGCAGTCCAGAGTTCCCGTTAGAATATTTTTTCGCCGGTCAACATGTCCGTTAAAGTTTAAATCTTCCGGACAACATTTGAAAAGTGCCGGTCAAAAGTATTCTTTGTTATTTATTGAGCTTTAAAACGAATTGATATGATTCGATATTAAACAAACTAATTATAGTAGATTAACTATTCAAAAGTGTACAGTAATTTACAATAACACGGGAATAATAAACGGAGCGCTGACAGCCCGTCAGTATCGCGGAACAGTGATGAGTGACCCGACAGTAAAACTAAACATATCTATAACTAGTTACGGTAGTTTGAGAGGTCATTAAAATAGCTACGTGTGATATTCTAACCTGAAGTGTGTGTTTTGTCCGCTCACCGCTGCATGTGACCATGCAGAGCTGTGTGTCGACTTGTCAGCAGCAGCTGATCTCTCTCTCGTTTATCTCCATATCGATCAGATCCAGCTAGTTCTAGCTAATGATATGACTACCTGCTTATTAAAAGACACCTAAACAATAAGCGTCGCTATGCAACCGGGTGAGGCCGCAAAGTATAGCACAGCATTATGCATTTGTTTACATGCCCACCGGAACCCCGAGGCATTACCAACAGATCAACGCACAATCAACCCACACAGGACATCTCTTTCTCCATATGAAGTGTTAGACATTAGAATTGACTATTCTTGTCTGTCACATAAGTGGCGCAAGTTGCGCAACTGATGCGGTATTGCGCTAAACGGAAATTATTTGGACCGGACACTTTGACCGGAGAGATTTAGATTTGCCGGTCTTCAGCATATTTTACCGGTCATAGTCCGGTAATTACCGGCTAACGGGAACTCTGGTGCAGTCATATCAATCCGCAGAAAGAGGTCCCGGCAGTTTAACGTCAGCGGTGGACAGCAAGCGGTCGTTTTTTTTCAGTCAGAAAACTGAGTTTCCTTCTTACCCAGGTTTTGGTCTCTATGCCCAGGTGCACCAGTATGGTGAATAAAGCCAGGGAGGTGATGGGAGTTCCCCACGTAAACAAATCCACATCAGAGTCAGCGTAGGCCTGAGGAGAAGGAGGACGAGGACGAGAAGTGATGAGTCAGTCCAAGCAGATAAACAATCTGAAGTAAAGTTATGGATTTATAAGGAAAAATAATGAAAATTAGACTCACAAAGTAGGGGATGAAGAAGCAGACCAGACTCTGATAGAAGGCATCGATCATATTCATCCAGAACATATATGGCTTGTATTCCTGTCACAATAAAACAACAAAATGTAAAACAGAAACTAACTCAGCAATGTGAACGACATTATATTCATACCCAGGTTATATAGATCTATATAATTCTACATGATAACAACAACCATTTAAATACTGCAACACACCGGATGAGAAACACTTCTTCCTTTCACCGTTAGCTTCTTTAAACACTAGACACTCTATGCTTTAACCTGATATTTTCAAAATAAAAGCGCACGGACCTCAGAGTTTTGCCCGTTGACGTATAGCTGAGGTAGTTGTTGCAGAGTCTCTGCAGACACGTCTTTGTCCAGCGTGCCGGTGATGAGCTGAGGGAAGGCGGAGAACATGAGGTTGAAGAAGATCAGGTACCACTGATCGACCATGGCCGACCCGGAGAACCCGCAGTAGAACTGATACCAGAAGATCAGCGCCACGAACATCTGGGGACAAAACATAACGGGAGGGAAATTAATTATTCACTTTATTTTGGTTTACATTTTTATTGCCACTTTGAATCTCAAGCCAAAGACATTTAGAAATGGGTTTTTCCCTAAAAAATACAAATAATTAGCAGATAATGCAGATAACATACAATATTAATGTAAAACAATTAATTCTGTATATTCTTATATGATGCACTCAATATACACTCTTTTTATTGGTTAATATGTGTATATTTACCGTTTTTTTTTTATTACATTTAATTTTTTATAATTTTCATTTTAAGAAAATATGTATAGATATCAATCCAGAATTTTGTTTATTCATTTACAGTATTTTATACAAATTATTTTATATGTTTCACTCACTGTTTTTGGGGGTTTATCCAGAAGATGTGTGGGTAGTTGGAAAATAATTAGTTTTAGTTTTTTCTTGGTGTTATTAAGAGTTTTGGATTGTCTGGTAGTTTAACTGAAACTATCTTATTCACATATTTGTATTAAAGTGGACCTATCATGCTATTTTTAGGCAATAGCATAGGTCTCAGATATATAAAAAACATGTCTATGAAGTGTTTTGCTCAAAATACCAAACAGATCACCCATTCTAGCCATGCCTCATATCCCTCTATTTCACTTCCTGTTTCAAAAGTGCTGATTTGGGTATAAAGCTTTAATAAAAAAGGAGGGGTCTGAGCTCACGCGGGACCCGGCAGCTACTGTCTAAACTAAATGCTGCTGTGATGAAACGCCATATCATGGATTATCAAGGATTATCTCTGAAACAGTTTGGAGCTCAAAGGCTTTCTCTCTCGCCGGTTATACCACAAGGTGAGTTCCTTTTTATTTCCTGCTTCTTCACACACATGCTCTCCAGTACAGGTTAGCTCTGAGTGTTAGCGATGCTAATGTAAACACCGACCATATTACGTCCAAAACAGTCGGGCATTGTTTCTGATAGCAACGTTTCTGGTTGGGCCGTGGGTCCACATTTCCGATATTACGTCATATCTGACGCAAATCTGGATCAGCTCCGTTGTAGCCCCGTTTTTAGAGATTTGGGTACGGAGGAAAAGAGAGAGGGTTTTATTTTTGACGCTGCGTGAGTTCCCTGACACACCGGGGACACATAGTTATGTATAAAAGACATCAAAAAGTGCATTTTGCATGATAGGTCCCCTTTAAGGGACATTAGTGTCTGCAGGGATGCTGTGCGAGGAGTGTTTTTGTGCAGCAGTTAAAGCGTCTCACAGCGTTCTTGTAGAAGAAGTAGAGAATCATGTTGGCGAGGCGGGAGTAGCACCAGTGTCCGTGAACCAGCAGCAGCTTCTGCAGGTACCGGAACCGAGGAAGAGCAAAGTCACTCGCCATCACCGCCTGCAGGAAAGCACAGAGACAGTTAGTGATTAGAAAGCAAAAGCTTCACGACACTCAAGCTAACCCCAGTGGAGGCTTGAAGCAAAGTTACAGGAGCATGGAGATGGTCAGAATCGTGCAGGATTGTGTGTATTTATTGAGAACACATGTAGTTCATAGCTATTTTTTTGTTAATACATTACAGTTTCATTCAACTATTAATTGAGCTAACTTATTGGTTAGCTGTCGGGCTTTGTTGTGATTAGTCAACTGCTTCGAGATGTCAGGACATCAGGAGGATACGTCCCCTCCTGACCCAGAAAGCGACGCAACTTCTGGTCCAGGCTCTCATCATCTCACGCCTAGACTACTGCAACTCCCTCCTGGCTGGTCTACCTGCATGTGCCATCCGACCTCTGCAGCTCATCCAGAATGCAGCGGCTCGCCTGGTCTTCAACCTTCCTAAATGCTCCCACACCACGCCGCTCCTCCGCTCCCTTCACTGGCTTCCGGTAACTGCTAGAATCCACTTCAAGACACTGGTACCTGCGTACCATGCTGCGAATGGATCTGGCCCTTCCTACATCCAGGACATGGTTAAACCGTACACCCCAGCACGTGCACTCCGCTCTGCATCGGCCAAACGACTCGCTGCACCCTCGCTGCGAGGGGGACCCAAGTTCCCATCAGCAAAAACACGTGGGTTTGCTGTCCTGGCTCCAAGATGGTGGAATGAGCTCCCCATTGACATCAGGAAAGCAGATAGCTTACACACCTTCCGGCGCAGACTGAAAACTCATCTCTTTCGACTCCACTTCGAGCGATAGAATTACTTGCAAAGCACTTATATACTAACAAAGGACTGGCTTATCTAAAGCCAGTTGAGTAGCACTTGAAATGTTTTGGCTCTATGAAACCTGAGTACTTATATGATTCTGTTTTCTTTAAGTTTGTATCTTCTTGGTCGAATGCACTTATTGTAAGTCGTCAGCTAAATGCAATGTAATGTCCCGCCCCTTAGCCTGTCACGCACAATGTATTGGAGCGCTAGCCAATAGAAGCTGTAGTGTTACATAGTGATGTCCATATGTTTCGGAGGTAACACAGGGATTTTAGCCTTTGCAGTCCATTTACATGCATAGAAACCTATAGAACGCACTACAGGAAAGAGGAAGCACCAAAAGGCATAGCAGGGGCTATATAATACGTTTGATATATATAATGTATTAAAGTATTATCCCAGAAGCCCCTCTTATCTTCACTTGACTTAAATATATGAGCATGGTTTGCCTGGTGATTAGAAATGATTAATGTAGCGGAGACTTCAACAGATGTGCTGAACAGCAGTGAGCCTCTGCAGACTAATTGGGAATCTCCATCATATCCCTTTTTAACCATGCATCCTGCCTTAGCCCTGACCTCAGTGCAGGGAGGAGCTGTGAGGAGTAACGCAGATGTACAGTGAGATGCTTCCTGACTCAGCACCACACTGCTGTTAACTTAAGGGTGTAGTGTGTGTGTGTGTGTGTGTGTGTGTGTGTGTGTGTGTGTGTGTGTGTGTGTGTGTGTGTGTGTGTGTGTGTGGGCTGTAGCACACACACTTAAGAGTGATGGAAACACACTAATATGCTCCACTATACCACGTCCTCCCCTTATCCCCTTATCTTCTATCCTGTTCCTCCTTTCACTCCTCTTTTTATCTCCTTACCCTTCATTTCGAGGCACAATTAATATATTTTGTAATAGTTAGTATAAGAATTTAAGTTATACACACCACTGTATATATTGTAATACACCAATTTATTTTTACATATTTATTTTTGTTATATCATTTAGTATAATGTGCACAATTGAGGTGAATGTCTTATGTTTGTATCAGACATTTTGAACTAATCTGCTTATTGCACTTTTTATATTATATTTGTGTTTTATTTTGTGTCTTTTATTGCATGTTTTTACTAAACTTTTTATTTTATGATCAATCGTTTTTTTGGACATTTTTAATTAAACTTTCTCACGTTTATATTAATTTAAATTATCTTCTTTTTGCAAATTTTAAATAAAATGTTTTAATTATTTTATTTGTTTATTGCCAATGTTTTACTGTTTTACTAAATTAAGTAATTTTTATATCATAAAATTAAGAAATTGTTACGACCCAATTTCACCCCTTTATATATATAAACTCATCCTGATTCAACCCCCCCCCCTCTGTCCCCCCCTCCTCACCTGCATGCCCTCCTGTCCCGAGATGCCGACGCCCACATCCGCCACCTGGATCATGCTGACGTCGTTCGCCCCGTCACCTGAGATCAGTGAACAGAGAGAGAGAGTCACTACACACACACTCGGGTACATTATTTGGTTTCCTCCACATTACTGCTAACACGGCAATGGCAGGAAAGCGCTGAGCGAGCAGAGAGAATCCTCCAGAGAGAGCGGAACGAACAGGAAACAGGAAAGACGTTGAGAGTCACCCCGAAATCCCCGAGTCACCTTCATCATTAATTAGTTAGAGTTAATTACTAAGGTGATCTAAAGTCACGCTGTGCGGACTCAGTGGTCACAGCGAGGGTGATATATGCCGTTAAAAACTTTGCATTATATACCTGGCAGCTAAATCCTCAGAACTGTTACAGGATGTGCATTTTGAAAAATGTGTAACTTTTTTATTGTAATTTCTTTTCTTTTTTTTAAATCTTAAGTACTTTTTTCTGCATGCTTAGGTAACATTAAGCTGTCTTTGGCTCTTTTTCTGCTGTAACAATGTACCTTTCCCCTCTGTGGGACCATAAGGCATTCTGATTCTGATGAAGGTGTTATGTCAGGCTTGGACCTTCTCAATATAACTATATAATAACTGTTATTGAATTACAGTTTCCAGATTTAGAGAAGCTCCACCGCAATTATTAGGGGTGAGAGGAAGTACAAAGAGGCTGATTGGATTATAATCATCATTATAGAGGTTTGTGTGTTAGTTAATGTAAGGAATATTGTGTGTGTGGTCATGTGCAAACGTATATATAGTTTGTTAATTGGGAAATTAATATATTCTGATAAGATATGAATTACTCCTAAAGACGTCATGAGATGATCTGGAACATGTCCAAGTTTAGGACATTACATTACATGTCACTTGTTAGACGTTTTTATCCAAAGCGACTAACATACTCAGTACTGTGGACAACCCCCACAGGAGCAATTTGGGGTGAAGTGTCTTCAGGGACACAACGACATGCTGACTGCAGTGGGGTTTGAACCTGTGACCCCCTGATCCGAATACCAACGCACAACCCACTGCACCACACGCCTCCTAGGACACCTGACAATGTTCGTGCGTTAAACACGGTTAGGGAAAATGTTCGTGTGTCATTTAGAAACCTATATCTGCTGTCTGTTTGTTGTACTCATGGGGCCACTACAACATTTGACTGTTTGAGAGCAAAGGTAGTGTTTCCTCATTATTATTGTTTGTTGTACAACGAAATAATAATTGATCAACTATATCTGTGTTTGTGTTTTATTGATTCCTCTCGGTTTCATTCTTTCCTGTTGTGAGTGCTAAATTGCCACAACAAAGGTGTGTGTGATGAGTGTGTGCCTCTTCATGACATTATTAGTAAGGGATAACGCTAAGACAGGGGTGTCCAAACTATGCCCGCCGACCATTTTGAATCGGCCCTGAGCAAATTCAAAAACTAGAATGGAATATGGCCCACAGATAAACTTGAGCTTGTCTTATATTGTACTTCTTGAATATAAACATATATTACACAGCAGTATTCATGTGTTAATAAGACCACTTTTCAAATAAATTCAGTCAATTAAAGTTGGAAACATTTTCTAAAAGCCCAATGACTTATTTCCACAACAAGCTTGACATATACCCTTCCTATTTCTCCTTATTATAATCAATCTGAGGCTTCTGATGAGCTGCCAACACTCACATAATTTACCTACATTTGATTGATTTTGCTAACTTATAACTGAACTTGTGAATGTCCCAGCCCTTTGTATATTTTTCTGTATGTGGCCCTCGGAGTAAATTATTTGGCCACCCCTGCGCTAAGAAAATAAAACTCTGTTACACGGCGCACCAACGGCTGGCTCTCCGACAACAATTTAAAATGAAGGCAGCTCTGATTTTATGTTTTCTGTGACTGTCCAAGTCTGTTCAGAGTTTATTTTCCACTAACAGTTCCCTAAATACAACAGAGACCAAACCGTCTTAGTGTCAGTGTTTACTTCCTGTCTGTCTTCTTCTGGTGATTTATCTGACGTCCAGCGCACCCTCGTTTAACCTCTTTTCCTTTCTCTCTCTTGATCCTCCTTAGCAACAGTCCTTATAGTGCTTAACAGCGGCCTGTACTACAGTCATATTGACCCCTGAAATGTCCGAATTGACCAATTATAATTGAGTATTCAAGCCATGTTATACATCTTATTAAAGAGGCCTTTTCTGTTTTTTGGGGTTTTCAAAGGTCTGCAATGGCTAAAAGCCCTTTGTTCCCTCTAGAGCAGTGTTTCTCAAACTTTTTCATACCAAGGACCACTTAACCAATAAAAAAACACTCGCGGACCACCTAACTCCACAAATATCCAAAAACACATCGTTTTTTACAAATAGCCTGAAAATGGTACAAACAAGTGGCCACATTGTGTGATGAAGGTGTTTATCTGGGCTATATCATGCAATCGAAAGTGAAACTTAAGCTCGCTCCATTGCGGAGATATTCCCGCGAGAGTGCGGAAAACTTAAATAAATAAATTTATTTCAAATGTGAAATTTTACCAATATACTCACGGACCACTAGGGGGCGCTCACGGACCACCAGTGGTCCGCGGACCACACTTTGAGAAGCACTGCTCTAGAGGCAGTTTTGTTGTTTATATATTGTATGTATATTCTGTACATGTTGTGACAATAAATCTAATCTAACCTAATTTTATAAACACAGGAAAACCAGATTGACATTCAAGAGAAATATGACACTGGTCACTTATTTGTTGTATCTGTTCCTGATTCTGTTTCTACAAACTCTCAAACCAGAGTCGGTAAAGTTTGAAAATGTATGAATAATATCAGCTGCAGGTTATTTATTCGTCAGTAGCAGTTTATTTAATGATGAATTCTTTGTTTCTCAGCCAGAGCAGCGAGTACATGAAGTACCTCGTGACCTGGAGGATCAATCTGAGGGGAATGTTAAAGCCCTGCCAACAGGTGAAACCAAAGAGCAATATTTCACTCTTTTAGTCAGAAAAACATTTCTGAAGTTCCAGACAAATATTATTAAATACCTTTGCAGCTCTCAGTCACTCCTCAAACACATGAGAAATCACCAGGAGCAGAAATAAAACATCTGTTCGACTTATTTCAAGAATTAGCTCTAAAGTTTAAGCTTAGCTTCGGGAAAATATTAGATAAACATCCTGATGGTTGGATTTCCACTGGTAGCTACAACATTTCGGAATTTCAAAATTTGCAGAAAAAGTCAAAGTTTTGAAAAATCTGTCTGAAAATGTCAGATTTATGAGAAAAAAGTCAGACATTTGAGAAAAAAGTCAGAATACTGAGATGTTCTGCTTAATGTCTGTTGTAGGAGCCATTGTATGGGTGTTGTTGGTGTCTGAATTCTGGGATTTTCATTAAAAAGTCAGAATTCAGAAATGGTCAGAAATCAGAATTTTTAGACAAAATACAGAATTTGAGAACAATTAGTCTGAAATTTGAGAAGAGTCAGAATTCTGAGATGTTCTGCCTAAGCATGTATTTTCAGAAAATGTAGAGGATATTGGAAAAAAGTCAGAATTTTGAGATTGTCAGAAATCAGATTTTTTTGACAAAATCCAGAATTTGAGGAAAAAAAGTCTCAAAATATGTAGGAACATTTCAGGTTCATGAAAAAAAAGTCTGACATTTTAGAAAAAAGTCAGAATTCTGAGATGTTCTGCTTAAGTCTGGATTTTCAGAAAATTAAGAGAATTTTGGCAAAAAGTCAGAATTTAGAGATTTCCGAAAAAAGTCAGAATTTACAGAAATTGACATAATTTATATATTTTTGGGTAAAAAGTCAGGATTTGAACATTTTAGAGAAAAAAGTCAGAACTCTGAGATGTCCTGCATAAATCTATATTTTCAGAAAATCGAGAGATTTTCAGAAAAAGGTCAGAATTTCGATTGTTGAAACAGAAAGCGTCGTGGATTTTAAACCTGAACGTACCGATGGCGAGGGTCATGACCTTCAGTTTGTTGCGCACCAGTTTGACCACCATGCTCTTCTGCAGCGGCGTGGAGCGGCAGCAGAGCACCGCGCGGCAGCTCTGAGCCACGGCCAGGAACTTCTCCTCCAGACTCTGATCCAGAGCGTAGGCCAGCGTGCGGCCGTCGATCACCAGGCCGATCTGGTGCACCGTGGGGGGGGCGGGTGGGCAGGACGGAGGAGGGGGGGTGAAGATCCCAAAGGGGGAGACGTTGCTGTGGAAAGATTTGGTGGTGGTGTGATCCGAGGAGCTGCAGAGGAATTTGGCCTGGATGTAGTGAAGACTCTCGTCCAGCAGCAGAGCACACGCCTCCTGTTCAGAAACACAGCGGCTCGTCAGATAAACTGAGCAACATCTGGCACACAGATGTGAAGCTGCTCAGAATTAACATCGTCCTCAAATGGCCTCTTTAAAAATGTGTTTCAGAGACGAGAAACTCAATATTATTGTGAGTGAATGTCTCGCCAAGAGGGAGATGAAAGCGTTGATACTACTTGCTGACTGTAAAGTAGATATGTAATCTTCTTGTTGTGATATTTTTGTCATACTCTGTAAAGCACTCTGGGCTATGTCAAGCATGAAAGGTGCTATATAAATGCTGATACAGATAAAGTGGAGCTGAGAGCTAAATGCTAACATCAGAATGCTAACGTATTGGTGTTTTTTTTCTTTCTGTGTTTCAGTTTTATTGAGTAATGCTCCTCCCTCCCACCTGAGAGTCGGCGTTGAGCGTCAGGATCTCCTCCTCGGGGTCGAGCAGTTTGCAGGCGTAGGCGATGTTTACGGCAGTTTCTTGTTTGTCTCCTGTCAGAACCCAGATCTGAAGACCCGCCTGCCGCAGCGACGCGATGGTTTCAGCGACGCCGTCCTGCAGCCGGTCCTCGATGCCCGTCGCTCCTGAGGAGGAGAAACAAAACGGTGATACAAACTCTAACATCCTCAACAGCAGGAGAAAAATGAGTATTGGAGGTATAACTGTCAAGTGGGAACTAAGTATTTTTCTTTTTTGTACATTTTTGTGTTTCTCTTATTTTCCTACAGTACTGTAATGATTGGCTGTGAATAAGAAAATATGAAGGACAGACCATCTATTTCTATTATTTATTTATTTTTGAGAAAGGGGCAGGTCATATAAGATTATTTTCTTCTCCCTGCTCCGTTTCGGGTATGGTGTGTTTAAAGAGACATGTTTTGTAAATTATTGTTATAGGTGGGGTAGGTCATTTTGGAGAAACCAGCTCGAGTGCGCTAGAATTTGAAAATACACAGCCGGAAAAAATCTGCCACTTCCTTACAGAGCCCCTCCTCCAACACACACGAACGCGCACATGACCAATGAGGGCACGAGATAAATTTGTGCACAGATTGAAGGCTGACAGGCAGGTAGGCCATCCAGTTACTTTAGCCGCCGGCTCAAATGATTGGCCACCTTTAAGTTGTGCATACCATGAACGGAACAAACACAAATGAAATTGTAGGTAAAAAAACAAACAAAAAATATGATTAACTGACGTGGTTAATTTATGAGAAAGAAACTCCCAAATGAGGATTTTAAAATATTCTCTGAGAACGAATAAAGTATTGCATGTACAGCACTTTGTCTCGACCAAAAATCGTTTTTCAATGTGCTCTATAAATAAAACTTGATTTTATTTTATTCTAAATTATGAAATCACAAATGTACAAGTAACAATGTGAATGCCATATGAGATTAAAGTGTGAAATTCACTTTAAAAATACGAATGAAAATAAATACTGTTAGATTAAAGGGGTAAATTAGCAAGGAAACATCTCAGACATTCTTCAACATTTGAGAAATTAAATGTGTGATTTAGAGCAGGGGTTCCCAACCTTTTTTCCCAAGAGCCCCCCCAAATGACTCCTGTTGGAAGTTGCGCCCCCCCACACACACACGGGGGGGGGGGGGCAACAGCGGTAATTAAAGTTTAAAAGTCTCAACAATGCTACAACTACTGTCACAAACTGGATGAATGTGAAGTATTTTGTTAAAGGAGGATGAAAGCGTAATTAAGGAGCACTATTGGAGTGACTTTGATGGTTATTGGACTCAGGATTAATTCATTTTAATTCCTGCTGTATAAAGAAATTAAAGGACGGAAAACAATGGAAGTGGAAACAATTCACAAAGGGATTAAACTGTTTAAAACACATGTTCAAAGTAAACCGGATTTTGCCGATGTGTTTATGTGGATTCAAAAGTCGTAAATAATCTACAAAATGGAGGAGACCGATCTGATCGGAGCAACTGTGACAAATAATCCAACTGAAACTGGCATGGACAATGACTATGTTTTAAACATGCGCTTATTCAGAAATCCTGGTTTGGACACTTTACGGGCAGAAGAAACATTTCTATTAAAGAAATAATTATACATTTCTTTCTTTTTATGCCTTTAATACTAACTAAAAAAAGTCTAAATATGATATTTGGCCTCAAATCATCTGAAGCCCGGCCCCCCCCCTGCGATCTTTGGCGCCCCCCAGGTTGGGAACCACTGATTTAGAAGACAAGGTTTTTCAGATTTTTGGAGAATGTCTGAGTTTTTTCTCCCAAATTAAGACTTTTTCTCTGACTCCATTAACGCCATAATTATTTTTTTACCAACAGTTTCCCTATTATGCTTTCATAGCCAAAAATAATAATGTATTTGTGTAATTAAAATATAGATTATGAAGGTATTTTTAGGATGAAGCCATGAATTACCCAGCAGCTGCAGGTTGGTCTCCAGACGCAGCGCCGACTCAAACAGCAGCTCCTCTCGACCCTGGATCGCTGTCTCCGCCTCCAGGTGGCGCTGCAGCCAGCACGCATACTGCTCCTTACTCATGACCTGACACACACACACACACACACACACACACACACACACACACACACACACACACACACACACACACACACACACACACACACACACACACACACACACACACACACACACACACACACACACACACACACACACACACACACACACACACACACACACACACACACACACACACACACACACACACACACACACACACACACACACACACACACACACACACACACACACACACACACACACACACACACACACACACACCACACACACACACACACACACACACACACACACACACACACACACACACACACACACACACACACACACACACACACACACACACACACAGGTTTATAATGAGCGCTTCTGGTGAGAGCATATATCAACAGCCTGGGAAAGTGGCACAGATTGCGATTGAGTCACGGAGAATGACTCTGAGCTGGGCTGCAAACACGGAAATGTCCAAAAAACCTCCAAAAACTGGAGAATTATTATTTTTATTTTTAAACAACGCAAGGGGAATTATTGTGATGACATTATGAGAAGATATCCTAACCCAGGGGTTACATTTCTGAGCCATTAGATGGCGGGCGGGCGGGATGGAGGGGTTACAAGGATCGAGTCTTGTGCTGCATTCACTTGCACTCGGACATTAGGGATTTTCTCTCATAAATGTCCGATGAGCCAAAACTTTTCTTTCAAAACAAAGCTAATTTTCCGGGCCAAATATTATTGCATATTAAAAAGGGGTTAGGACATGGGTCGGCAACAATGGCCCGTGGGCCGCCTGTTGCCGACCCATGTCCTAACCCCTTTAATATGTTAGCGTCCTTAATTAAGCTTTAATCAAACTCTTATCTGTTTTATTCTTTATTATAACTTTTCTTTATCCCCTCTTAATCTGATATTAACTATGAACCCTATGAATGAATTATGTATTAGTTTAATAATTATTTGGGCATTTCTTATTTTTCTGCTTAAAGGTGGGGTAGGTAAGTTTAAGAAACCGGCTCGAGATACACTTTTTGTTATATTCCATGGAATGCTCTAAACATCCCGATAGCAATGAATATCTTAAGTGCTTTGACAAAAAATCCATACAAATATTTCGTCTGTGGAAGCCGTAGTTCTGTAAAAAGCACGACCAATCATTTTAGCCGGCCCGGCTAAAGTAACTGGATGGCCTACCTGCCTGTCAGCCTTCCATCTGTGCACAAACTTATCTCTGCCCTCATTGGTCATGTTCGTGTGTGTTGGAGGAGGGGCTCTGTAAGGAAGTGGCAGATTTTTTCCGGCTGTGTATTTTCAAATTCTAGCGCACTCGAGCTGGTTTCTCCAAAATGACCTACCCCACCTTTAATGTAGAAATGTGTTGAATTGTGTCTTTACATACACAATTAAAGGTTTTAAAGCAAGGCAAGTTTCTTTGTTTTGTTTATTTATACTGTAAGTAATAAAAATGAGTCTATATTTTGAACGACGTATATGTAGAGTTGCATCAACAACTAATTAAAGACTCATTTAAACACGACGTGTGTCTCGTCAAGCCGTTTAAAGAGAGGACACTTTTTAGGGATGTTTTAAAATCACTCGTTACCTTCTTAGCGATGCACAGCGTCCTCAGGCCGTCGGCAGCGTACAGGTTCAGGAAGTACTGGGTTCGGCTGAAAATCTTTTTCTGCCGTTTCCCTTTGGAGTTCGCTTAAAAAACAGCAAAAGAAAGAAGAATTAACGTTAACTTCCTCTCAAAGAGCCATCTGCCGTCACATCTACATTCAAGCCTGTATGCTGCACCTTTATATATTTCATACCAAGTGTTCATATTACTCATCATGTACAATTTGATTAAAAAAGATTCTGTAAAATATTCTTATTTACCGTCTATTAATTTATTGACTATATTTGTCCAAACCTGTTATTTATTTAAATGTTTGTTTTCACTGTACAAAAGTTATATTAATATAACACATTATTTCATGTCTCTGGCATCTTACTGGCAGTAGGACAAACACATTGGTTACACACACACACACACACACACACACACACACACACACACACACACACACACACACACACACACACACACACACACACACACACACCACACACACACAACACACACACACACCACACACACACACACACACACACACACACACACACACACACACACACACACCACACACACCACACACACACACACACACCACACACACACACCACACACACACACACACACACACACACACACACACACACACACACACACACACACACACACACACACACCTGAATAATTAAAACACAAGAAGGATCCTTTTATCAATCCAGAGATATCAGTTGATCAGTAAAAAATGATATGAAGCTCAGCGCAACTTCTTTCAGGAAGACTGGTATACATTCACTCCGCAGCTGCTTATAATCAGCTCATCACAGGCTTCCTGCTAACCTATTACATTCACCTCATTCTCAGCAGCCAATCAGCATGCTGCAGCCACACTTTAAAATGGTTCTCCTCTCTCCTGCAGTCAGCTGTGATGTCAGGTGTTCATGCTGCCGCCCGCCTCCTCCCCATCCACCTCCTTTCATCACAGCCAGTGCCAGGAGAGCTAACCCAAAGACCTCATCACACCTCCTCTTCATCACATCCAGATCTTCAGCATCATCACCAGTGTCTAGACCCCGGGGGGGTTCCCTACATGCTCACGGCTGCATTTCCCCCTTTAGATATACCATTTCAGGATCGGGGTCTAATCGCCAAAGACTTAACATTTATCATATGGCATGTGTCAATAAATGTCAAAAAGTCTCTCCTGATTGAAATAGTTTTCCGCCTCTGAAATATGAAAGTCTGCTTCTTTCTCTGTGTTATATAATAACTGACACAACCAGACATCTAAACACATCAGCTTGGACTTTCAGAAACTGGGATGGACATTTTTTACAATTTTATGACATTTCTAATCTGTGTTATTTCACATGTAAAGTGAAGTAAAGTTGGTTTTCTTTGGTCGGAGGAAACAAGAAATCTCTTTGGACTTTTAGAAACGTTCTATTTTACATTAAACAATTCATCTATTATGAAAACGCTCATGAGTCACTGCCCCAGACGTAATCTTGCTCACTTTTATTGTTGTTTTTAACAGTCTTTCTTGGCTGTAAAAAACGGAATTTCCAAGGAAACAGGAGTTTTCCCTTCTGCAGAAAGCTGCAGATGACCGACAGACGCATGTGGAACTGCACACAATGTTTATTTTTCCTGCAGCAGCAATAAAGGAAGATCCACCCTAAAAAGGATTTGTGTGCTTCATGTTAAAGGTTCCCCGAGGAGTTTTTGACCACTTTTAAAGGTCAAGTTTGTATGTTGGGCTCCCTGTTTGCTCATATTTATTACTCCTCTGGTCATCAGGTGTAAAGAAACACACTCATGTGCAGCACAGAAGGGCAAGTTTGCACGGATTTAAACAATGTAGGTGGGCGTTTTCTGTGAGGAAGGAAATTATTTCAGCTCGTTTGTTGGACTTCAAGGACACACACATTACATGTTAGACGCTTTTATCCAAAGCGACTTACATACTCAATACTGTGGGCAATCCCCACAGGAGCAATTTGGGGTGAAGTGTCTCAGGGACACAACGACATGCTGACTGCAGTGGGGTTTGAACCTGTGACTCCCTGGTCCGAACACCTACGCATAACCCACTGCGCCACACGCCTCCCCACGTCACTATGTTCAGGAAGTAAATAAAGGAGTCCAATGGAGGCGTCTCAGGGGACACAGGGATTTAAGCCTTTGCGGGCCATTTACATGAACAAACACCTATTTAACACACTACAAGGGGAAAACCCCAAAAGCAGAATAGGGCCTCTTCATTATGAGTTCAAATGAAGAATATAAAAATATAAATTCTGTTTTAAGGTGGAACTTGCTGTTAAACATCACGTCTCTGCAGTAGGAGTGAGGCTGGAGTAACGTCATGACACTCGGCACCATGTGTGTTGTTATTAAAGTGAAACTGAGCCCCCCCCCCTCACTGTCGCCTGAATGGAGCCTTTATGGAGGTCTGTGTTATGAGGAGGCCCAACTCATACTGCGCTCTGATTGGCTGCTTTCACCCAATGGTAAAAACAAAGCAGGGAGTTGTCTCTCTGTGTGTGTGTGTGTGTGTGTGTGTGTGTGTGTGTGTGTGTGTGTGTGTGTGTGTGTGTGTGTGTGTGTGTGTGTGTGTGTGTGTAGACCTTTATATAGTATACGGTCTATGATGTGGACACACCCTGTCTGCCATTAAAGTTTCTGAAGTGAGACACATGGTGGAGGAGAGGGAGGGTGATATTTGATTTACAAGGATGACCCGCCCTATTCTGCCACTGATTGGCTGACAGCGGGAACAGTTTGTATTATGTTCTGATGGAGAGGTTTAGAAATAATCTCTGTGATAAACATGTACGTTTTTATTTAAATAAAATAAATAATATGCATCAGGACTCATACCTGCACGACTCTATTGGAACGACTTTTATGCTCTGGTGACATAATGTTGCCTGTTAATTCTACTCTGGTTCATGTTCACATTGACTTTTTAAAAGTAAAACATGACATTAAATACTTTTTTACCCGCCTGTCATCCTGTATCCTCACGGCCCGTGCGAGGAAATCAAATTCCTGTGATTTAGTACAAACACGTCAGCCATAATAAGTGTGTGTAAGTTTGCGTAAATTCAGTTCTTACCCCAAAAACAAATCCTAAATAAGAACAAAACTCTGGAAAAAACTACATAAATGTGAAGAAACAACACTTTTGCAGTTTCCACGGTAAGTGAATGGGGCCCATTGTCTTTGAATAATGAAAATAAACATGTGCAGCACCACAGACTGTGTGTGTGTGTGTGTGTGTGTGTGTGTGTGTGTGTGTGTGTGTGTGTGTGTGTGTGTGTGTGTGTGTGTGTGTGTACAGATGTGTGGTGGCTGTGTACAGAGCATTAGTGGAAGTGCCTGTGTGGCTCTTTGTGCCTGGAATACTAAAATTGAACCATTAAAGACTGGACGAGTGTGGAACAAGGTTTAAGATCAAGAGGAAAACACGCGATGTGGCAGGAAGTGAAGCTTGCTCTAAAAATACCAGTTCTTACGTAACCTGCATGTCAAATGGAGGGGTCATACACCTTTTCCAAATAAATTCAAGCACTTTTTCAGAATCAGAAATGCATATTTTTATACTGTACATGCGGCATTAATAATCCGGTAAAATCCAATATAAGTGTTAAGAGTTGAAGTTTATTTTTATGATGCCAATAATCAGACGTGTTGGAAAAGGTGAGAGTACAAAGTTTTGGTATAAATATTGTCGTAAAACTGGAAATAAACAAAAACACTATCTTTTAAGAAGAAGAGAGGGCCTATTCCAGGGGTGGCCAACCCGCGGCTCTCGAGCCGCATGCGGCTCTTTGCCTAGTTTCATGCGGCTCTTCAGTTCATATCGAATTTTATGTGTGAGTTTGGGGGAGAGACACTGACTCTGTCCTGACTAGTGTTGCACGGTGTAACGATACTTGAAAGGTATACCGCGATACTCTGCCGTTAAAAACGTTACGATTCCTCCGTTTCATTAGTATCGGTACTTTAAGAATGACGGGGGAAAGTACTCCGGTGAGAAAGCGCCGTTTCAATAAGAGCCGTGTGTTCAGCGCTCTGCTTCCACTCCCTGCACTGCAGCCGTGCCTGCAGTCCCGCCCCTCTCAAGCACGTTTTAAGTCCCTCCCCTCTCAAGCACGCTCTAAGTGCCTCCCCTCTCTCGTGCACGCGCTAGCTGCAAGAGCATTTGAGAAAACGAGAAGCATGGTTGCAAGTGGGAGTGCAACTGCCGCTGCGCCTTGGCTTGTTGACAAAAAAGACGCCAGAAGCGAAATTTGGAAGTATTTAGGGAAACCTATCGTTGATTAAACACTATTTCCCCTATCATTGTCTTGGAGGGGCGCTGCGCCCCGCCAACGGAGCCCCGCGCCCCCCCTGAAATTCAAGGTGTTTAAAAAAAAAATATATATTTTTTTTAATATATATGTAGCACCAAATTGCAAATAATCTATGACTACTGTCACTTTTCACATTGAACATGTGCTCTTTTATTAAATAAACGCTTTCATTTTAAGTTGTGGGTTTAGTGTTTTTGACCCTAAGAAACAGATGCATTAATCAATAACAATAATCCACAGCTCCTCTCTCTGCTCCAGAGGATTTAAAAAATATATATCCCAATGCCACAAAAATGCATCAGTGACGTGGTTGAAATCTTGTCTCCAGAAAACAAAAAACTGAAACAAGCTGTATCAGTGACTGTGTGTTTGATGTGGCTCTTTGCAGTAACAGAGAAAAAATGTGGCTCTTAACCTCTGACTGGTTGGCCACCCCTGGCCTATTCGGTTTGTTTGTGGTTTTCCCTTTCCTGTAGTGTTGTATAGGTTTGTGTGCATGTTAATGGTCTGCAAAGGCTAAAAACCCTCCCCCCGTGATATAGTGACATAACTATGTAACACTTGCACTTCTATTGGCTAGCGCTCCAACACATTGTACTTCATAGGCTAAGAGGCGGGACATCTCTAAGTGGTTGACTAATCACAACAGAACGGGCCAGCTAACCAATCAGAGCAGACTAGGCTCTGGTTTCAGACAGAGCAGATGAGCAGAATATGTCCTCTTAAACCTATGTTCAAGGACAGGAACCTCTCAAAGATCAAGTCAACCCTTTGAACTTTGTCCGCTCCGGGACTTTAACCCTGAGCTCCTTTGATTCGACGAAGGTGATTTTCCTACCTGTGTCGGGGGGTCTGATGAGGTCCATGATGGCGGAGTCTGCTCCTTTCGTATAGACGGTGATCTGATCCGTCAGCGGGTGTCGGACCACCACCGACATGCGCTTCCTGTTGGAGTCGAAGCCCAGCGTGTGCAGCAGCTCGAAGCTCAGTTTCCCCAGGTGAGGCAGCTCCACGGTCACCCGGTCGGGGAGGCGCCCCACCAGGGAGCACTTGTAGGCGCGGGCGGCGTAAACCAGCGCCGCCTCGTCCGGAGACTCCGCCTCGTACCGCAGCTCGCCCTCCGCCGCGCTACACGCCTTCCCATCGTACTGCGGCGGCACGGGGCTGAAGGCGTGCTGCATGCTCTGCTCCTCGTCCAGTTTGGTGAGGGTGCTCTCGGCGGACGGAGAGGACAAAAGGCTGGAGCAGCCGCGGGTGGAGGAGCGGTTGGTGACCAGGCTGGAGGAGCTGCTGCTGTTGGAGCCCGAGGTCAGGCGGCTCGGGGTGAAGCGCTTTATGAAATCCTCGATGGTCTTCACCGGAGACTTCAGCTCGAACCTCATCCGCACCTGAGGATGATGAGAAATTAAAATGTTTTTTTTTCGATGAAGATTGTAAAGTATGTAAATGTTGTAATTTTGTATGTTTGTTCTTATGTTGTCCAAATAAAAAATAAGATTAAAAAAAATAATACATTTTTGTGTAGGACTTTACATAAACCTGGTGCCGCTCAAAGTGCTTTAACAACATGGCACACATTTAAACAGAAACTAAAAATGATCTTCAGGTCAGACGGTAAAACCTTTTAACACGAGGAGGTAAAAGGTATAACAAAAAACATTTTCAAATACAAATGATCCATCTCGGTAAAAAAGAAAAGAAAAGATACAATTAAATAAAAAACCTATAAAAAAAATTATATAAATTACAAATAATAATAAAAATGTATAATAAAATAAGCAAATAATAATGATTAAAGACTCATTTAAATAGGAATGTCTCTAAAACAACTATAGAGAGGCGAAGTCCCTCTCTTTCCGGGGGAGCTCCATGGGACCTTATTTCGGAAAAAGTATGTATTGAAGTCAAAGGCGAGCAGGCCCGGTTCTACGGGGGTGCATAAGGGTGCATTGCACCCTCAGTTGAGTTGTTATGCACCCTCATTTGAAAAATTAAAAGTGAAAAATAAATTAAAAAATAAAAGTGGAAAAAATATATATATTAAAGGTGGGGTAGGTAAGTTTCAGAAACCGGCTCGAGTGCACTGAAAGTACACAGCCGAAAAGAATCCGCCCCTTCCTTCAGACTTCCTTACAGAGCACCTCCTCCAACACACATGAACGCGCAATGCACGCCCAATTACGGCACGCCCAATGAGGGCACGAGATACATTTGTGCGTGCACGAGATGGAAGGCTGACAGACAGGGCGGCAATCCAATCCGTTTAGCCGGGCCGGCTAAACGGATTGGTCGTGCTTTTTACAGTATTACGGCTTCCACAGATGACTTTTTTATGGATTTTTTGTCAAAGCACTTCAGATATTCATTGCTATCGGGATGTTAAGAGCATTCCATGGAATATAACAAAAAGTGTATCTCGAGCCGGTTTCTGAAACTTACCTACCCCACCTTTAAGTAAAAGTGAAAAATATTACATATATATAATAATAATAATAATAATAGTAGTAATAATAATAATAATAATAATAAGAAGAAGAATATAGTTGAAATAAAATAAATTGTAATTGTGGTTACATTGTCTGCTGCATTTATTTGGTCAATTTAAACGGTAAGTAACATTATTATGTCAGGTGCGCGTGACCTCTGCGCGTTCGTCATCTGCAAGGTGCTTACACAGCAGTCAATGATGGACATCAGAAAATGGTTAAAACAACCAGCCCTTATCGCCAGCAGTAACACTGCAGGTAATAACAGTTCAGATCATGGGGAGATTACGTTACCCGCGGCCACTGTCGTGCACAATAACGTCCTCCCGCTCGACTCGCCGGCTTTGCCCGCCTCGCCCACGGAGGCGGAGCAGCCGCAGGCGTCTTCGTTGCCCCAAACACCGCTACCCCTCGGTGGCCCGCAAGTGCCAGAGGACCTCGGCAAAACAGAGCCTGCCGAGGTATATTTAAAAAAAAGTACCCAACTCGCCTGTACAGTGGGGTAAGGCGCTCATTTTGCAGCTCATGGTTTCACAACAGAGATTGGCTGGAATATTCCTCTAAAAAAGATGCCATCTTCTGCATGTAGACATTTCGGTCTTGAAAGGGGAGTGATTTGTAAAATATCCATAAAGAAATAGTAAACCTGCTTACAGGTCTGTTTCATATGGGTGTTGAGATGTATCCAGATCTCTTCATGTTGCTCTCAAAGTGCACCAGATTGATGCTTTTAACTTCAATATTTTAAAAAAAAATCTTCCCGGGGGAACATGCCCCCGGACCCCCCTAGAGGAGGTGAGGACCCCTAGAGGGTGTTATGTCCACTCCCCATTTATAAAAATAGCACTTTACCACTGCACCCTCTTTAATCTCAGATGCACCCTTAGTCATTTTGTTCTGGAACCGGGCCTGACGGCGAGAGAAAGATTATCTTTCGATCCCGTTTGAATTGTGCCACGAATTACACATACGATAATTTTGCAAATCAAAAAAATAAAAATGAGTCGTAAAACTGTGAAGTAACACTTTTTTCTGTGTGAAACCGCTCAATGAACTACATCTCCCGTCTCGCACCACACACCAAGACGGCCGTCACGTTGAAACATTTCACCTCTTTCTCTCAGAATGAGGCGGAAAGTATTAAAAGAGGTGAAAATCACTCCAAGTCTGGGCATGTTGAGAGCTGTGCATACACACAAGGGGAGTTAGTCGGTTCCGTGAGAGCCAGCATGCGGGACCGGGATTCTGGGATTTGTAGTCTTTCTAGTTGCGTATTTTTCATAGTCTTATATTTCAACAGTTTTACGACAAACTGTGACTTTTTTGACATGGAAATTATTTTTTAAGACGGTAGAAGTAGAAGGGCGGGACTTCGCCACTCTATACAATAATATTAATAAAAACCTATAAAATACATAAAAATATTATAAACCTGAAAAGACCATTTCAAAAAGGGGGGGGGGGGGGGCACTAATAAAAAGCTAATCTAAAAAGACTCAATAGATTCAAATACAAAACTACCAACACCAATATTAGGGAATGAGCTCCAAGATTTTAATAGAGGGGTGACACATTTCTGTGAAGCATTTAGGATGCTGCTTAAGCATGACGCAACATCTTGCAAGAAACAGCGTCTGAGGGCTTTTAAACATTTAATAAACTATGAATGTGTCATACTCACTTAACGGGAAGAAACTCAGCTTTCAGACAATATTAACCATTTTTAGCTAAACGAAACAAAAGAGTAATAACAAAGGCTCTGAATTAGCCCTGAGCGAAAAAATGCTAACGCACTTAGCACAGAACTCATGGTAAAATACCCTTATTACTTATCGGATCTGCACAAACAAGATATCGATTAGCAAGCTGAGATTCCACAGATTCCAGACATATAAGTATCATCACTGAGCGATCAGAACTTGCGGCGAAATGACAACAAACAACCACAAAAAGATTAGCATTACGGAGCCAAAACGGCTAAAAAACGTCTTAACTTTGTTGTTTTCTGATCAAAAGTTGTGCTCAATGGCATTAAAACGATAAAAACGCAGCTGAAGGTTAATCCAATGGTTAATACAATGTGTCTGTGTCACTTTGAAATGGTTACTGGTAATCCATCATTCCATTTTTATGTCAATAACGGAGATTTCCTATTAGCTGCTACGATAGCTACTAGAGTGTATGACAGCTTCCGGTATTGGTATTCTGGCTACGCATCACTCATTCACCAATGGGTAATGTTTAGATGGATTTTAGGAACTTCTCCTCGATTCTATTGGCTCTAACGGTTAAAAAGAGGTGTCAATCATCAAAATCGACCGAGGGGGGACAGAGATATGGAAAATCCACCCAAATGACCCCAGAAGTGTTTTTTTTCTTCTAAATCTCTCTAAAAGGTCAAATGTCACTTGTTTTGATACAGGGTACTTATTATATGTTATAGTTTGGATTCCTAAAGCTTTTAGTCTACTATCCCATCATTCAAGGGTGGTTTTCACTGTAAGTAATGTTTTTTGTTTGGACGGACACTATAATTTACATTTGTTCAATCTGAATTGACTTTAAAATAAAAAAGTTCTATATTGATTCTGACTCTTCTACATCCAACTCACAGGTTTATCATTGCTTTGAGAAAAAAGATTATTAATGTAACCCTTTTAGAAGTGAAGTTATGGTCATCTGTTCTGGGAATGTCATTTTCGAGCCTGAGACCTGAAAAACAGGCTCGGGGCTTAACAGGTTAAGACCAGAAAATAAAATAAAAACATCACGTTTGGTTTCCCCAATTAATCTGTAATCAGTGTTATGTTATGATCTTGCAGTACAAATATCAGCACTGATGAAAATGCAGCTTCTGGCTCGTTCACTTTATCCCGAGATGGGGCGGTACAATAGCAGGAGTGACTCACATTGGTTCTCACACAGATATAAATCATTCAGGAGCCGGTTCAGCCTCAAGGGCATCATAATAAAATGTAAACAATCCCATTGGCCCAGAGGACACACAATACAAAGAGAAAGCAGACGGTATCAAAGCCAGTGATACATTTCCTCACATCGTATCAGATAACCTCCAACAGAAACAAGTAATAATAAAACATAAGGTCTAATCTGGACACATTTGTGCCTCTGACTGTCGGCTGGAGAACAGTGTGTGAGGAGAGGACACACACACACACACACACACACACACACACACACACACACACACACACACACACACACACACACACACACACACACACACACACACACACACACACACACACACACACACACACACACACACACACACACACACACACACACACACACACACACACACACACACACACACACACACACACACACACACACACACACACACACACACACACACACACACACACACACACACACACAGCAGAACAGTGAGAGAGCTGCCTGCAAAAGGTTGATTTAGGGGTTTCTTTAACGTTTTTTTATATATTTTATATTTTTTAAATGGACGCTCATGTTTGAACAAGGAACAGGAAGAAAAATAAAGGTTAGCTAAATCTTTGGAAATATGTATTGTTCTTAAATGTGGCTAGACAAGATTGACTGGAGTGTTCAATCAAATCTGGTGTCTGAAAAAGGAGCTGACAAAATGAATGGAGAAAAAACGTTCCTAACTGTGGCGACTTTACGTCAACTTTAAGAGGCCCTACTCCGCTCTTTGGGGTCTGCCCTTTCCTGTAGTGTGTTATATATGTTTGTGTGCAAAGGCTAAAATATATGTGGGATGACACTGTCCTTTATTCCTTAACGGTAAAAAGGTTTACTTGTTTTATTGAGATAACGAGTGCTTGTTGGAGGACCGTACCTTCTGCCGGGGCTGATTGGGGGAGGACACCACCACCGTGTTGCAGATGGTGAGAGCGATGAAGAAGTCGAGGACGTCTGCGAGGTCGGAGGGCAGCTGTGACATCGGCTGTTTGTGGAACCGCATGAAGTCCATCTGACTGCCGCACTCGTTCACTTTGTCCAGCAGCTGAGGGTCCGGTGTGATGTCCTTCTCCTGCAGGACGGGGAGGGAAACGGCACAGAAAATCTTCAGTATTCACATAAAACAGTTAAAATAAGCAAAAAAAAGTATGTATAATTATCTTATCGTACCGTACCACTTCGTATCATTCCGTTTTTGACCGTTTAATATTGTATGGTATCGTATGGTATGGTACTGCTGAAGTCGGTACGTTTGGACAGAATTCTGGCCCTGTTTTATGGTATGATATTGTATGGTATCATATGGTATGGTATGGTACTGCTGAAGTCGGTACGTTTGGACAGAATTCTGACCCTGTTTTATGGTATGATATTGTATGGTATCATATGGTATGGTATGGTACTGCTGAAGTCGGTACGTTTGGACAGAATTCTGGCCCTGTTTTATGGTATGATATTGTATGGTATTATATGGTTTGGCACTGACCATGGGGCTGCTGCAGGCGGTGAGTTTGGACAGGATGATGGCCCTCTGGTACGGTATTTTCAGGGTATTGTGTGGTATTGTGTGGTATTGTGTGGTATTGTGTGGTATTGTGTGGTATTGTGTGGTATGGTATGGTACGGTATGGATCTGACGATGGGGCTGCTGAATGCGGTGTGTTTTCACAGGATGCTGGCCCTCTTTTATGGTATGATATTTTAATCTGTATTTTTGAGTATCGATCTCAAGTTGGCATGACGTTGAAGTCTTGCGACCCTGCTGTACTCCTAATTATAAAAGTAGGGTAGACATGTGGAGATTATACGGCTGAACAAAACGTGCATTTATCAAACAGGTTCGTTTTCCACAGATCTTGTTTTTTACAATATTCCAAAATCCTATGGAGAAATCCCGTTGCTTTTTTGTCGAGGGAACCCTTGCGCAGCTTACTTCTGGGTCGGCCTACACAAATACGTCATCACTGCACCACTCTATTGTATGGTATCATATGGTTTGGTACTAACCATGGGGCTGCTGAAGGCGGTGTGTTTGGACAGGATGCTCGCCCTCTTGGCCTCGGCCCGGCTGCCGGTCCTGCGGTGGGATTTGGTGCTTTGTGAGCGCAGGACCACCTTGGCGCTCTGATGGCTGCCCACACTGTCCCGCCGGGGGAGGGTCCCGCCGCGAGACGGGCACTCCTCTTCCTCAGAGTCCATCTCCTGGTACATGGCAAGTCTTTTGGCTGGATAACACACGAACACATCATTAAGAGTGACTTTATATCAATGAAATACTTTATGTCGCCCTGTGTTATTATTTGTCTTTTGGTCTAAGGATAAGTCTGTCTGTTTTTCTGCGAATGTTGTTCCTATGTTTATTAACCTGTAAAGAAAGGAAAATAAAAAGATAATTACAAAAAAAAATGATATATTATATATATATTCTTTATGTCACTTAGACTATAGTGCAATTAACTTGAGAAACTAAATAATATAGGTGGTTTTTTTTCTCACCATTTGCATCATGGGAGTACTCCACCCCAGCGACGGTGCAGCGCCTGAACACCATCTTGTTCTCCGTCAGCGTGCCGGTCTTGTCGGAGAAGATGTACTGCATCTGTCCGAGGTCTTCGGTGATGTTCAGCGCTCGGCACTGCAGATGGGAGTCTGTCTCCTCGTCGTACAGGTCCAGGTCCTGATGGATGAAGAACACCTGGCAGATCTTCACGATCTCAATCGACACGAACAGAGAGATGGGGATCAGCACCTGGGGGGGGGGGGGGGGGGGGGGGGGGGGGGGGGGGGCAGAGTGAGAGGCTTTTACAGGAGGTGCATGAGAGGAACAGAAATTATTATAAATATTTTCACAAATAGCTAAAGATAATGCATTAACATACTTAATCATCATTTTTTTTTAAATAATAGATTTTTTTTCTTTCTATTTAAATATTGAGCTCGAAAAATTGCTTTAAAATGCATGAACATTTTAAATAATTGAATACAAAATTATGCATGTAGTATTAAATATTAGCTTAAAAAATTGTTAAAATAATAAGCTAAAATTAGGGCATTAACAGTTACAAAAAATTACCTTAAAAAGTATGGATAAGTATTTTAATGAATTAGCTTAAAAATAAAAATAAATTGTTCACATAAAAAGTTAACAATACTTAACAGTTTTAATAATTAAAATAACTAGCTTTAAAAAATAATAAAAACTTATTTAAATTAAATATCCTCAATGAGTAATGAATATATTTGTTTGTCTATAAACAGATTCAATAATGATGTTAAAAAGAATGGAACAATTGTTTAAATAATTAGCTTAAATTAATGGACTATTTAAATAAAAGACAAAAATAAATCCCATGAACAATTTAAATAATTTGATTAAAAATAAAACTTTAACGGGATTTTTTTTATGAATAATTAAATAAGTATCTTAAGATATGGATAAACAGTCAAATAATTAGCTAAAGAAGGAAAAACTACTTTAATTAAGAGCTTAAAATATCGCATAAGGACATTAAATAAATACGGGAAAGGATTATATTATAATGGTTAAATTGTTAAGGCAAAAAAAGTTAAGGCAAAAAAAGTTATAACCGTTTAAATAATGAAAGTGAAAAGTAAACACGTGAAAGAGTTTGCTGTATGTAAGAAAAACAAATGAAATGACTGTCATGACCCGATGAATCATCAAATTGAGAACAAGCAGAAGCTCGTAAAACCTTTCTAGTCTTAAATAGAATAAATACATTCAAGCATGTTCAATGGACGATGTCTATTTCTCCTAAGGACCAATGGGAGAAATGTATATACGTGTACTTTGTGTATGTTTGCTGTAATCCAGGGTGAGACATTTCCAGGCAACATTTCTGGAAAGTGGAAATGAGTCATGGCTTTTGGGAGGAAAGGCCCAGCCCCCACCAACACAGTCATGTGTTTATCTGGCAGTACTGCAAGTCACCCACCTCCAAAAAGATCATGTTTGCAAAGTGAAACTGTTGATTTCTGATTCGTTAAATTAACCAGGACTACTTGCAACATGTGACACAGGACAGGGTGACATTTCCACTGACACAAGCCAACAAAGATAAACAGATCAATAGCTGTCAATCTTCTTCTGCTGTTATAAAGATTATTTCTCAGCATGGAGCAAGTCCTCTCTGTTTTCCAGATTAAAAGTGACGATACAGATCTAGAGGTCGGTTGCTCTTCAGTGTACGGCGGGATAAAACATTACAAACTTTAATGTTTTATTATCTGCGCCTTTGCTCCCCTCTGCTGCGTACCTGGAAGACGATGATCATGGTGAGGAAGAGATAAACGGCCGTCATGACGGGTGATAAATCCGTCCCCTCTGGGCTGAGCACGTCAAACACCGGCCTCTTATCTCCGTACTGAAACATCCAAAGCCCGTGACCTGCAACAGAAAACAGCACAAGGTCAACTCACATAAACACAGGAGAGAGGAGATATACAAATAAAAAAGGCACAGTAAACACAGTCAGAGAAGTTCTGATTTCAGAGAAAGTAAGGATAACCTTTACATTAGGGAAGCACCATTTTATTTTGCAATCACAAATTGGCTTCCCACGATTAAAGAGTCCTCTCCTGCTGATGTCCAGGTGTATATCAGTATGTAGTGTCTCTACTTTAAAGAGTCCTCTCCTGCTCATGTTCAGGTGTATATCAGTATGTAGTGTCTCTACTTTAAAGAGTCCTCTCCTGCTGATGTTCAGGTGTATATCAGTATGTAGTGTCTCTACTTTAAAGAGTCCTCTCCTGCTGATGTTCAGGTGTATATCAGTATGTAGTGTCTCTACTTTAAAGAGTCCTCTCCTGCTGATGTTCAGGTGTATATCAGTATGTAGTGTCTCTACTTTAAAGAGTCCTCTCCTGCTGATGTTCAGGTGTATATCAGTATGTAGTGTCTCTACTTTAAAGAGTCCTCTCCTGCTGATGTTCAGGTGTATATCAGTATGTAGTGTCTCTACTTTAAAGAGTCCTCTCCTGCTGATGTTCAGTTGTATATCAGTATGTCGTGTCTCTACTTTAAAGAGTCCTCTCCTGCTGATGTTCAGGTGTATATCAGTATGTAGTGTCTCTACTTTAAAGAGTCCTCTCCTGCTGATGTTCAGGTGTATATCAGTATGTAGTGTCTCTACTTTAAAGAGTCCTCTCCTGCTGATGTGCAGGTGTATATCAGTATGTAGTGTCTCTACTTTAAAGAGTCCTCTCCTGCTGATGTTCAGGTGTATATCAGTATGTAGTGTCTCTACTTTAAAGAGTCCTCTCCTGCTGATGTTCAGGTGTATATCAGTATGTAGTGTCTCTACTTTAAAGAGTCCTCTCCTGCTGATGTTCAGGTTCATATCAGTATGTAGTGTCTCTACTTTAAAGAGTCCTCTCCTGCTGATGTTCAGGTGTATATCAGTATGTCGTGTCTCTACTTTAAAGAGTCCTCTCCTGCTGATGTTCAGGTGTATATCAGTATGTAGTGTCTCTACTTTAAAGAGTCCTCTCCTGCTGATGTTCAGGTGTAAATCAGTATGTAGTGTCTCTACTTTAAAGAGTCCTCTCCTGCTGATGTTCAGGTGTATATCAGTATGTAGTGTCTCTACTTTAAAGAGTCCTCTCCTGCTGGTGTTCAGGTTCATATCAGTATGTAGTGTCTCTACTTTAAAGAGTCCTCTCCTGCTGATGTTCAGGTGTATATCAGTATGTAGTGTCTCTACTTTAAAGAGTCCTCTCCTGCTGATGTTCAGGTGTATATCAGTATGTAGTGTCTCTACTTTAAAGAGTCCTCTCCTGCTGATGTTCAGGTGTATATCAGTATGTAGTGTCTCTACTTTAAAGAGTCCTCTCCTGCTGATGTTCAGGTGTATATCAGTATGTAGTGTCTCTACATGTCTCCCTGCTTTAATGTTCAAAAAGCTCTTTATTGTTCTCATACTGCCTGTGCTGCAGCACCTCTTTTCACCCTCTGTCTGAAACCAGAACCCAGTCTGCTCTGATTGGTTAGCTGTCCGGTTCTGTTGTGATTAGTCAACCACTTAGAGATGTCCCGCCCCTTAGCCTATCACGCACAATGTGTTGAAGCGCTAGCCAATAGGAGCGTCAGTGTTACATAGTTATGTCACTATGTTCTGGAAGTAAACAAAGTCCAATTGAAAATCCCACTGGCTTTTTGAGGAGGGAACCAGGGAGATGCTGCCTTCAGGGGTTTGAATAGTCATGGAAGGCATTGGTATTTTCGTGCAGCCCTACTTAAAAATATCTCTGGAGGGTTTCTTACCGATCGCAGTGAACAGGCACATGACCAGCAGGATGATGACGCACCAGAACACGTGCACGTTCATCTGACGCTCCAGTTTGCTGCGTTTGTATCGCGGCCCGTTGTTGTTAAGCATGGCTTTGGTTTCGTGACCTGTTGAGACAAATGGTTTGAGAGGTCGGAGGTCAAACGAGTGGAGAGACAGTCTGAGACGAGGTTACTCTGGGGGTGGAGCTGACCTGCGTAAATAATGATCCCCACGGCCTCCTCTGTGTTTCTGATGGTGCAGCCTCTCAGCAGCAGGTTCTCTTTGTAAAGTGCATCTCTCCGGCCACTGCGATGGACTCTGAGGAGGAAATACCAATACATTGATTTGTTTTAGGAATTTAAAAGCACAACAACTGGAAGAGTATCTTGACACAACAACCCTAGAGGGTAGCATTTAAAACAATTACTTAAAAGCCATTCTTTCCCAAGTAGTGCTTGGACTTGATGTAAAAACAAATACATGGAAACAAACCAATTGATGGACACAAACAAAAACCTACAGCGTTACAGATTATTAATCTTGTCCCTAATCTTCTGCCGTACTTCACACACATCTCAATTTCAATAATGATGTTATAAATAATGGAACAATTGTTTAAATAATTAGCTTAAAGTAATGGACAAACAATTTAAATATAGAGAAAAATAAAGCCCATGAACAATTTAAATAATTAGATTAAAAATAAGTATCTTAAAATATGGATAAACAGAAAAGAAAAACTTTTAGCTAAAGAAAAGAAAAACTACTTTAATAAAGAGCTTACAATATTGCATGAGCACATTAAATAAATATGTTAGATTGGCTAAAAATAATAATTAAAAACGGGAAAGGATTATATTATAATAATGGTTAAAATAGAGGGCTAAAAGTTATAACCGTTTAAATAATGAAAGTGAAAAATAGACACGTGAAAGAGTTTTCTGTATGTAATAAAAACAAATTAAATGACTGTCATGACCTGATGAATCGTCAAATTGAGAACAAGCATTCCTTGCAGAAGACACACACACACACACACACACACACACACACACACACACACACACACACACACACACACACACACACACACACACACACACACACACACACACACACACACACACACACACACACACACACACACACACACACACACACACACACACACACACACACACACCACACACACACACACACACACACACACACACACACACACACACACACACACACACACACACACACACACACACACACACACACACACACACACACACACACACACACACACACACACACACACACACACACACACACACACTAATGTAATGAAACACTGCTGAGATAACTGCCCCCCCCCTTTAACCCCGCTGCTGTGCCCGGCTGCAACCTGGCAACATTAAGCCTGCAGCATATGGTCTTCTTCTGAGTAAAATATAACTGTCAGGAACATGTGAGAGCGACTGTAAGCCAAGAAGACGTTGTTTCGGGAGACACGATGAAAAGTTCCCTTTGGATTAACCCAGCTCTCAAAACCTCTTTAGAAACTCAAAACATGATGCCACCGACTGATAAACATGTCCAGAAATATTTTCAGGAAATGTACTTTCTGGTTTTCTTGCAGAGGATTTGATATGAAGATAGATACAATTCTCATGTCTGTATGATTACAAGGCGATGGTGAGAACGCAGTTAGCTTAGCTTAGCATCAAGACTGAAATCAAAGGGGAAGCAGCTAGCCTGGCTCTCTATGAAGGCAGCACAATCTGCTCACTTATTTACATGTTTCACCGTCTTTGTTTTAACCAGAGTGTAAAAGGTAGCATTGATGATGATGATGATGATGATGATACATTTTATTTATATAGCGCTTTTCACAACTCAAAGACGCTTAAGACATTGTGGTCTTGTTGTCACCATCAAGTTGTTAGACAATGAAAGAACATTTAAAATAGTCAAAAAAGTGAACAAGTTTCACAAATAACTTAATTTCTCTCGATGTAAAAGTGCCAGCTCATATTTTGTAAAGCGGTACTCAAGTAATTAGGCATTGCATTTTCTCACAGGAGACAGATAAATAAAAGGTTAAAACAAAAAACTGCAGATAGAGATATCAAGCTCCAAAACATAAAGCAACTTATGGCATCTTTCTTTAGTCCCACCTTGCATAGTTAAAGCCCTTTCAGTTACCATACGTCTAAAATAGACTTTCACTTCTCCATTTTGGTATATTAAGTTGAATGCTTCTAATCAATCTCCTTTGTGAACATGATTAAATTGCTACCAGTTTAGTTGTTGCTTTGCTCTCGGAGACTTCTACGAACTAAAGCTCCACTATATTCTGGTCACGATGAACCACATACATCTATAGCGCGGTCAAAACGGGCAAACCACATCCCAAGAAGTCAAATCCTAATCCTGACTTGGAAAAACTTTAAGTCATAATTATAAGTTGCAGACTTTCTGGCTTCTGGTAAACAAACCACTGTTTCACATTATTTCCATTCTGGAGGATAACGTACTCGACATTTACAAATTGACAGTGACATTTAAATTAAGATGAAGTGGAAAGAGTTCTCACATGTAGCCTCTGAATCTGTTCAGGTCGTTGTTTGGTTTTTCACATTCAATGATGCCGTTGTACTTCAGGGGGTCGAAATCACAATCCTGCAAACAAAAAACAAACAGAACAGCTGCTCATTTCCAAATAACCAAACAGATCATTGCAGCATTACCCATAACCCCCTCTGTTTCAGCCCTGTTTCCAAAGAGCTGATTCTCTGTCTGTTACTTTAGATGAAAATAAGGAGCCCCTCCCCACGCCCCTCTGAGAGAGATTTGGTTAAAAAGAACACAATGGTGCTCTAGGACCTCATTCACACCAACGGTGTTTCAGGGCCAGTTCGGAGCTGGAGCTTGAAAAGCACCAGGTTTTCCTGTTCACACCGCAGCGGAGCAGCCTCTTAGCTCCGGAATCCGGTTCATTTCAAGCACCAAAAAATTGTCTGGCTGGAGCAAAAGCAGAGCATTCGTCACGCTTACGTCGAGGCGGGGGCAGAGACAGGATCAACTCCTGAACAACAACAAAAAGCCCGTGTTTTATCCAGTTTGTACACAACGATGGAGAAACTTAACAAGCAGCAGTGGTCCACTGAAGAGACCAGCTACCTACTGGGAATCTGGTCTTCTGAAGAGGTACAGAGGAAGCTGGAGCACAATCGGCCATTGTTGTTGTTGTCGGTGTCAGCTATGAGGGGTTTCCGCAAGGTTTGGCTTTATGAAGCAGGCACGCAAACGGTTACGTCATGACGCAATGACGCAGCACCAGTCGGACTCTGGGCGGTGTGAAAAGAGCCGGAGCTAAACCGAAGAACCGGTTCTGAACCTGAAAAGCTCTAGCACGGAGCTTGAACCGGAGTTGCGTTGGTGTGAATGAGGTATAGGAGGAGATTCAGGTGATAAGGCAGGGTTACCTTGGTTGGTGATTGGCTAATGGTTACACAAGCCAAAAAATCGTTATGACATCATAAAGTGGCCAAAATCTGATCAGTTCATTTTCAGACAGGTTTTTATATAAATGGATCAGGACAAAAAGTGAGAGAATCTTTTTTCCTGAAACTTTCAGAATCTCTTTACACAGAGGGGACACATGTTGATGAAGAAGAGACATGAAAAAGTGGATTTTGCATAATAGGTGACCTTTAAAGCTTCTGTATCTCCTACCAGTAGGCAAGAGAGAGAACAGTTTGTGACATGGGTTAATACAATTAATCAGGATTTCTCCCAGCACGGTTCTCTTATTTGATGGCTGTAAAGGGTCTCACCAGGTCCAGGAAGCTGCGCACCACCTGCCTCTGCTTCAGGTTGGTCTCTCCGTCCAGCGTGGCCGTCTCGATGTGACAGAGGCGGTCCGGGTCGCTGGAGCTGAGCAGTAGGACATCGGCGGGGAGGATCTCGTTACAGCGCAGCCGGATGAAGTCTCCCACCCTCACCTCCTTCCAGAACCTCTCCACGTAACGCCTCTCCACTCTGCAGGAACAATGAGAAAGATGTGGAGCCATTATTTCAATATCTGATGGTTTCTAAAAACAGCAACCATAAAACATTATGTTACAGAAAATGTAATAACACAGCAGTACATTGGTAGCTTCCTGCTGTTTACAGTAAATCTCAATAGTTTCCTATATGCAGGGCTGCACATAACTGGTGCGCAGGTGCGCATGCGCACCTCCGCCAAAAAAAGAGCACCGGGTCATTTGAAACAAAGCGCATTTGCGTACCAACATTGAGAAGGAGAGAGAGAAGAGAATAGAGAAAATAGAGGAGAGATGAGAGAGAAGAGAGAGAGAGAGAAAGATATTTGCGAGTTGCATATGAACCATGATATGAACTCAGGGCCGGCCCGTAGCACTGGCTAGATGTTCGCCTAGGGCGCCAGATCTGGGGAGGTGCTGCGCTGGCAGTTCTGGGAGGAAAAAAAACATTTTGACCGTTGGGGCTCATCCTAATTTTCGGCCTTGATGTAACAATATTCACAATTAAGTAAATGTAACACCCTTTTCACCCCGGTTCCACCTTTCATTTGCCCTGTACGATGGGCGCTGTAAGTGATGAAAATGGGGGATGTTGGCTTATCTGGCGCCCGCAGCTCACAGACAAAATGCGAGTGAGCGAGGGAGGGTGGTACCAGCGCTGTTGTTATTATAATCTGGTGCCGTGCTAGCTGCTCTAACGGAGATAAGAAGAAGATGTTTCTACAATAATGTGGAGGGAGAGTCCTCTCCAGTCAGACTGAGAGGCTGATAAGTTAACTACAGCTCAGTGAGGTAAAGGACTCTTAGTCTAAGTTCAAACGGTTTGGTCACAATTTATGTAAACACATATTTCCAAGGCACTCCTTTGTAATTATTGGGATAAACAGGTTTTAAATCATTCCAATGTATACTATAAGACAGTAACCAAAAATATCCTTTAAAACTGGAAAGATAAAAAAAAAAAGCATAAATAAATGTTAAGGTAAAATAAGATATGAATGAACAACACAAATAAAATAAGTTACATTAATTTGTTATTGGCTATGGTAGGCTATTGGTTATGTTCACATACTTATTTGATTACATCCACTTGTCTAAGATGACAACAGAGACTTTCGACCCAAAACCAGCTGTTGACTTGTGGATGCAAGCAGCTAATCACAGACTCAACCAGAGAGAAAGAAGTAGGCCTACATCATCAGCTACCATGTCTGACAGAGAGGAAGACAGTGAGGAGAACAGTGAGGAGGGAGTGATGACAGCTTGTAGGATTACTGGTCGTGCTAATGTTGTCTTGTGTTCACCTCTGTGTGTGTGTTCTGTGTTCACCTCTGCATGTTCAGTGCCGTGTGTCTGGCAAATAAAGTCAAGACCCCCTCAAAAGTTACGGTTTATTTCATTTTAAGGATGAGCACCAAGCAACATCTCCAGGTGCTCCTTTGAGAACCAGGGCAAAAAAGTTATGTGCACCCCTGCCTATATGTTTAGGTCCACATCCATCAATTAATCAATGAGCATGTGTTGTCACGCTGGCATATTTTAAACAATGTCACTATTTTGAGGAACTTGCTGAACTCTTGACTTTTAACGGGAAAACAGTCATGACCGGAAATACTTCCCTAAATGGTAACCGATGTTTCCTTTCTGAACATTGTGATATTCCTGTTAGCAGGTTATGATAAATAATGCATACACCAGAGCGACATACGGTAACGCATTTTGAGGAAAAACACTCATAATGTTATTTATTCATCACGACCTCGCTTCCCTGAAATTAATGACTCACTTCCGGATATATAAAAACATTCCTTCCCTTGAATTTTGTCACTGAAATGCATGAGGTGCATTAAAACACTGCATGCACTCGATCAGAACAAAAAACACAACTGAAAACTACTTATAGCAATATTGATCTTTATTTATATAAATCATTTTAAAATAACATTCTCCAGATTATAACGTTTGCTATAGAAGTAAAAGCAGTCTCAGTGCAAGATGTGATGTGAACTTACTCCATGGGGTGGTTCATTTAATTAATTACAAAGCTTTGTAGAATACTCAATGCTGATTGGTCAATTTGGACATTCCACAGGTCTGCTATTTTTCGCTCACAGACCGTTGCTAAGGAGAGCAGACCGTTGCTAAGGAGGATCCAGGGAATATGTGCAGTCATATCAACCCGCAGGAAAAAGTGAAGTTTACAGAAAAAGCAGAAGACAGACAGGAAGTAAACACTAAAGGGAACAGCAGAAGAAGACAGACAGGAAGTAAACACTAAAGGGAGCAGCAGAAGAAGACAGACAGGAAGTAAACACTAAAGCAGTGCTTCTCAAAGTGTGGTCCGCGGACCACTGGTGGTCCGTGAGCGCCCACTAGTGGTCCGTGAGTATATTGGTAAAATTTCACATTTGAAATAAATAAATAAATTTAAGTTTTCCGCACTCTCGCGGGAATATCTCCGCAATGGAGCGAGGTTAAGTTTCACTTTCAATTGCATGATATGGCCCAGCGCAACACCTTCATCACACATGTGGCCACTTGTTTGTACCATTTTCAGGCGATTTGTAAAAAACAATGTGTTTTTGGATATTTGTGGAGTTAGGTGGTCCGCGAGTATTTTTTTATTGGTTAAGTGGTCCTTGGTATGAAAAAGTTTGAGAAACACTGCACTAAAGGGAACAGCAGAAGAAGACAGACAGGAAGTAAACACCAAAGGGAACAGCAGAAGAAAACAGACAGGAAGTAAACACCAAAGGGAACAGCAGAAGAAGACAGACAGGAAGTAAACACTAAAGGGAACAGCAGAAGAAGACAGACATGAAGTAAACATTAAAGGGAACAGCAGAAGAAGACAGACAGGAAGTAAACACCAAAGGGAACAGCAGAAGAAGACAGACAGGAAGTAAACACCAAAGGGAACAGCAGAAGAAGACAGACATGAAGTAAACATTAAAGGGAACAGCAGAAGAAGACAGACAGGAAGTAAACACCAAAGGGAACAGCAGAAGAAGACAGACAGGAAGTAAACACCAAAGGGAACAGCAGAAGAAGACAGACAGATGGGGCCCTTCTCACTTCTCTTATTTTTCATTTCCTCGCTCCTCGGTCTCGGTCTCACCGGAAGTTGATTTGTCTGCGCCATCTTGAGTAGCGTCCCAATGGCCTTATTTTTGCCGGAGGAGCGAGGAGCGATAATGGAGGAGCTATAACCGAGGAACCACCAGACCATCCTTCGATGAAATCCTCAGACACTCGCCCCGCCCCCTTACTGTGTATCGCTCACTGATTGGACAATGCAGTGCATGCACCGATCTGATGCTTCTTGACATGAGAGCAGTTTCGCAGCGGAGTGAAGAAAATACATGAACCTCACGGGAGTCACTCCTCAGTTTATACCGTGTTTTGTTTCAATTAATGTATCATTTAGTTACACATATGTGATATATCTGAACAACAAAGTGGTCAAAAATCATTTTCTTCATTTAATGGAAACATTTTCATGATCGCTTTTTTCGTTTATACATTTTAAGAATGGCGTTTATCTTTCTTGAGAATGAGTTCTTATTTTATTTAATGTATTTGGGTCTATAACAGATGATACAAATGTTTGTGTCAGTAAATGTGTACTAACAGAGGCGGGCGTGTGTGTGAAAATAACGGGGACACAGCTGCTGTCAGACGCACAGCTATGCGGCGTCATCACAAACGGACGTCGCTTCACGTGACGCTCCGGAGGAAAGGACGTCCCATTGCTCTTAAAACTCATTCCCTGCTTCTCGTGGTTTCCTTGCGTCTCTCCATGCTTCCCTGGTGGGAGGGACTACACGCAGGGAAACGACGCAAGTGAGGGACGCAAGGAATCCATTTAACCGAAGTGAGAAGGGCCCAAAGTAAACACTAAAGGGAACAGCAGAAGAAGACAGACAGACAGGAAGTAAACACCAAAGGGAACAGCAGAAGAAGACAGACAGACAGGAAGTAAACACCAAAGGGAACAGCAGAAGAAGACAGACAGACAGGAAGTAAACACTAAAAGGAACACAGCATGCAGCCGTTGATACGCAATAATGGAAAACATACACTCATTTTTAAATTAAATACTTTGTTATCAATATTATAAGTCAAGTTGTAGGTTTATTTAGTATGTGGCCATGTAGTAAGCTTACATATTACACTTATTTTAGGTAGGTAGTACACCAACTTTGGAGAGAAAACCTCAAACAACCCTGCTTCAAAACATCCAAACGTTATCTTGCTGTTGTCTATCTCAGCTCATACATTCCTACCTAACTGGGTAATTGATTAGTTTGTGTGGGCCATATTTTCTGTGCTTTATTTACTGTGGTAGTTTTAAAGTCATGCACTAAGAATGTAAGATAAATTCCTGCAGCATTGAAGGACACACTTCTGACTGCCAGTAGACTGCAGAAATAGTTAACTTATCAGGTGCTTGTTTGCTTCCAAGAATATGTTCTGTGTTGTTATGTAAATGTGGAAAAACAAACTGAATCGTACTTTTGCGTTTCTTTAAAGAGCAAATTGTTTTTGGCAGTGAGAAGAGTGCTCTGGTATGTTATGCTTACACAGGACTTTGTACATTTAATAAAGTGTGAAGTCAAAGATAACAGAAAGCACATGCAGGTTTGCTAACTTATTTTCAACTTAGTAGTTGGGGATTATTTGTAGGGGAAAATACCACTATAAATCTTGTTTTTATTAAAGATCGGCTCATTAAATGTATGGGATTAAGTAATTCAGTGTGAAAAAAATAAATTAGTAAGTCTAATTGACAACATCAATCTTAGTGGACTATGACCAAAATAACAAACACATAATTGAAGAGGGGGCAGTCCTATAGAAAGATGTATGTTTATCAAAAAGGACAAAAACAACAAGAGAGTTAAACATTAAAGGGGACCTATCATGCAAAATGCACTTTTTTATGTCTTTTATACATAAAGATATGTGTCCCCGGTGTGTCAGGGAACTCACGCAGCGTCAGAAAATAAAACCCTCTCTCTTTTCCTCCGCACCCAAATCTCTAAAAACGGGGCTACAACGGAGCTGATCCAGATTTGAGTCCGATATGACGTAATATCTGAAATGTGGACCCACGGCCCTATCAGAAACAATGCCATCAGAAACAATGCCCGACTGTTTTGGACGTAATATGGTCGGTGTTTACATTAGCATCGCTAACACTCAGAGCTAACCTGTACTGGAGAGCATGTGTGTGAAGAAGCAGGAAATAAAAAGGAACTCACCTTGTGGTATAACCGGCAAGAGAGAAAGCCTTTGAGCTCCATACTGTTTCAGAGAGAATCCTTGATAATCCATGATATGGCGTTTCATCACCGCAGTATTTAGTTTAGACAGTAGCTGCCGGGTCCCGCATGAGCTCAGCCCCCTCCTTTCTTTATTAAATCAAATTGTTTGGTATTTTGAGCAAAACACTTCATTGACATGTTTTATATATATATATATCTGAGACCTAAAAAATAGCATGATAGGTGACCTTTAAAACTATCTGAAACAGAATAAGACTGCTATAACGTACACAAAATATAAATTACCATTGACTAAAACTGTAATTTATCTTAATATGGCAAACAAGTTGCTGGATTACCGCTGACTAGATATGTAATTTATTTTGTGTCGAAAATATCACAATAACACAACCTAGCTCACTGGAGTCAGCATTTAACCAGAAACTCCTGTGTTCTGTGAGGTAAAGCATAGCATACACTTTAAGTGATATTGATTTTGAGGTGTGTGTGAAACATTTCTATAGTAGTGTACTGCTAATAATGAAAAAAAATATTGACAAATTTCTTAAAAACGTAAATAATAATCACAGAAAATGTCTAAAAATATAATAATTAAAACAAATATTAAATATGTCATGAAAAGGTGTTGTAAATAATAACATATTTTTTAAAAAGTCATAATATTCTCACATTAACTTAATCTGATATATAATAAAAGGTGTCTAAAATGTATTTATAATCCCAAAAATTGTCACTAAAATGTCTTGAATGACAGAAAATGTCACAAAAAATGTCAATAAAATATCAGAAATATATTTTTTCTCTGCAGATACCATTAACATTTTACAAAATATTGGGCTCACTGCGAATTAAATATTGCACTAGTCCATATTGTGATTTTTCAAAAATGTCTATTAATTGTTCAACCCTAACCTTCACCCAGACGGTCTTGGCGTGTCAAAGCAGAGGGAGGATTTGATTCAATTTTTTATCAAAAATGGCTAAGACTTATAAACAGTGCCGGTTAATTCCCTTTTTATCTTGACAGATTTCCTCCTAAATGTAGATTACAAAAATGCAGACACACCCGGTTAAATCACTGGAATGTAAATATTTAGCAGGTCGCTGAATTTAAGTTTGACCAGCTCAGATTAAAGGGGTATTCTTAGTGTTTTTAGGTGTGTTTGTATAAGGTACAACTCCACAGTCTGTCTATAACTTAAGTAAATGCAGTTGGTAGACACTTGGAAAAACTTGAATATATCACAATATTATGATATGAGAATAAATACTGTCTTTTCGGATATTTAAATATCTTAGGTCTTTTTTCAAATTGTGCAGCTTAAATGAAGATGTATCAGGTAAACCATTCACCTGCAGAAAAATAAATGACAAAGTTTAAAGGGAGTGTGTATCTAACCTTGAGAATAAAACAACTTCAGGTTGAGTCCGGTCAGCTGTTGCCGGGTTGACAGAGGAAATGTTTGCGGCAGCAGCAGCACGAAAATTCAATTATGTCCAACCTCGACAGAGCAGCTTGGGTCAGACTTTGCTAAAACTGTGGAGCCGCTGCACACTGAGCCTTTTGATTTCCATGAAGTCTGCTCTGTGCATGGACCACAGTGCTGCTTTTCATTAGAACACACACACACACACACACACACTAAAGTTAGCAGCAGAGGAAGTTCAGGACAGATAAAGGTTGTCAGGTAACTTACGGACTGATTATTAATGATAGTAGTGAAGGAACATCTGTATTAAGATTAGAACTTGATCAACCCCGAAAGGAAATAGTTTTTTGCCAGATTTTGAAAAAACTTTCAACACGACAAGACTCCTTTGTTTACTTCGGGAACATAGTGGCATCACCAAGTAACCCTTGCCCATCTATTGGCTAGCGCTCCAACACATTGTACGTGATAGGGCTAAGGGGCAGGACATCTCTAAGCGGTTGACCAATCACAACAGCAGAGCCGGCCAGCTAACCAATCAGAGCAGGCTGGGCTCTGGTTTCAGACGGAGGGTGAAAAGAGGTGCTGCAGAAAAATAAGAGCTTTTTGAACATTGAAGCATGGAGACATGTCCCAGTAGAGACACTAAATACTAGGGATGTAACGATATATCGAATACCATTGTGAGACTGACAAAATCTACCGTGATTTTTTTTAAACCTTCATTTAACCAGATGGTCCCATTGAGATCATCAATCTCTTTTTCAAGAGAGACCTGTCCAACATGGCAGCAAGTAGGTTACAACGTGAACATAAAACAACAGATAACACAAAAGGACATCGTATTTACAGGGCTACATGTACACACCTAGAGACATTGACAAGTACCAACAGTATATTTGTATCTTGCCCTGTCAATAAGCCTCACCTTCTTGGCAAAAACGGTATTGTTTTTTAAGTGGTGGAGAGACAATGCACAGTTTGACCCACTGCTGTCACCCATGGCCAAAGCATATCTCTCTGTCCCAGCAACATCAGTACCAAGCGAGAGAGTTTTTCCCACAGCAGGGGATATTGTAAACGCCCAAACATCCCAGCTTCTACCTGGAAATGTGGACATGCTCATATTCCTAAAAGATAACCTTGATGATACTGAGTGAGTGAGTGAGTGAGTTACTTGAAAAACTAAAGTGAAACTTGATTTATTTTATTGCAGGGTCTGATTATTATATTGTTGACACTTTAAAATACTACTAAAATGCTGTATAAATCAGATTTTTTTTATTCAATAAAAATAAATAAATAATTGAAGTAAAAAAATAATAATTCACAATTTTTTTTCTTCTTTATTTTTCAATATCGCGATAAATATCGTACCGTGAGTTTTTGGTATCGTTACATCCCTACTAAATACTTATATGAACCTGAACATCAGCAGACTATGTCCCTTTAACCCTGAGGGCTTAAGTCATTTAACAAATGACAACAAAATGATGAATCATATGGTGTTTGTTGTGGATCTCTTGTCTCTTGCCTGAATCTGATTTATGGTTTATTTGGTTCATTTGTTCTGTTTTTAAGTCAGTAGGTGAACCTATATGTTCATAAAGTAGTGTGTGTGATCTTAACTGTGTGTTGAACTAAAATTGAGCATGTTCTGTCAGCTCAGATTTTGTGCTCAATTGTTTCATTGTTGGTGTATAGGCTGCTGCCTGAATATGCTTCATGAAAGGTAGGTTTTACTATCAATAAAGTCATTTCTGATCCAATCTCACTTTGTTTTAATCCTTGTTTTGTGTCATGGGAAGCATGTGTTTAAATATGTGTGTGTGGCTGCACATGGTGTTGTGTCACGGCTGACAGAGTGGAGACGGTTGCAACAAGTGGTCCCGATAGACAACACAACAGCATTTAAATAAACAAGATATGTTGGCGTGATTTAAAGGATATTTAACCCAAATGCACATTTATATTGCTCTTTTGAACATGTAAGTAATTGAGAGGTAAATACTGAGGATAGTTCCCCCAAAACCGAGTGTGAAGAAAATCAGTTTTAAAACAATTGCCGTTTTGGACTATAAATAATGCTTGTATTATTGTCTAAATAAATAAAACTATACTATTATTGTGAAACAATACATACTTTAAGAATACCATGCTCATTGAGAAACAACATGTGAATACTAAGTAGTGAAAATGTATTTTAAACATCTGATTTTCATCCATTAAAATGTATATTGTGAACAACCTGTCATATACACTCATAACTTTACATGGTATGGGTAATTAGCGTAAATACAAAATATAAAACTTCAAATTGTTGCCAGAACGTTTGTGCATATGACATGCACTATTTTAAATCATATTTCTTCAAAAATATGTTTTAATTACACTTTTCCACTTCTTTTTATGCCTTTTTCTGTGACATTATTTATGTTTTTGTGACATTTGTAATGCTTTTTGTTGTTACAATTTTACAATGATTTTATACTAATAAGTTCACATTTTTATATTGTATGAATCTTACCTGCACTTATTGTTGTTTTAATGACATTCTTTTTCAATGTTATCATATTTGTATGCCTTTTTTCTTCGGCATTATTTCAGTTTTTAAAGACGCATTTGTAATGTTTTTTTCTACATGTCATACTATGAATTTTATAATAAATAATAATAAAGCTTTATTTATATAGCACTTTTCATACAACACATGCCCCTCAGATTATTTGTTAAGAACTTTAAAAAAGGTACATGCAACAAAATATAACATTTCATCAGGTTAATAGACACAAGGAGGTAAAAGGTATGATAATTAAAATAAATAATGGTTTCTCTCTGACAGATAAGACGCAAGACAACTGAGTCGATGCAACAATATAAAATATAAAATAACACCACATAAACATTTTTAAAAAAAAGATTAAGACCTATACAAACAATATAAAGGTAGGTAAATGATAAAGACTAAAAGAACATTTAAAGTGGGATGTTGCTAATAAAAAGTTAATCTAAAAATGTGTCTTTAGCTGTCGTTTAAAATATATATAAATTATTGATTGTTATCTTGATGTTGCTTTTTACATTGCCTCTCACCTGCAGTACACCAGGCAGTCCATGTGGTTGATCTCGGTGTCGGACCGGTGTCTCCGGTAGTCCTCCCACAGGTCCTTGATGGCGGTGACCGACAGGATGAAGACCACCGGGGCCAGAGCCAGCTCGGGCTGAAACGCGTTCACCACCGGGACGAAGTTGAGCAGAGCGATGAAGACAAAGTAAACATTAGCGAACCTGTGGAACTGCTCGAAGAGGTTTTTGGGCAGGAAGGACAGCACGGTGTACTTGGTGGTCTTTATCTTGTTATTTGAATAGTGTCTGTTGGGGTTTTCCTCCCCTTTGGCGTGGTCGTACAGTATATTAGCGTGCACAGTCCTGGTTTTATTCTCCTTTTGTTTCCTCTTTCTTTGCCTTTTTGCAGCTTTGGGGTCCTCCTCGCTGTCCCGCGCCATATCTGCAAACTTTCCCCTCACTTTGGGGACTTTTTCAGATAAATAACTACACAAACCCTGAGTTATGTTATCATTCTTTAAGTTTTCGACGGTTTATCCGCACTAACTTGCTCCTTTTCATCCATGGCGACTCCTCTTTCCCGTCGGAGGAAACTTTTTCTTGTTTGGCTTCTGCTTTTTTCCCTGGGAAGGATGCTGAGATAGTAGGGAGGCATTCAGCAACGTTAGACTTCCCACAGTAGATCTGTAAGCCATGCGGATGGGACTCAGCCATTGGTGGAATGATGTTGCTGTGTTTGTAGATCAGCGCATGCGCACCCACAGGAAGCTCGCCCCTCCTCCTTGGTTTTTTGTGTCTCCAAGTGCCACGCGGTATTATGGAGAGTCACAGGAAGCAGAGAAATGTGCTAACTAGAGAAGTAAACACTTTATTTATAAACAATAACAAAGATTACCTTTAGTTGTTCAGTTATTTATTTGTAATTTATTTGGGGGGGGGGGGGGTTGCAATAGTATACGGTTGTTACATCAGAAATTGTATTAAAAGTAGGAAGACATATCACTTTAAGACAATATAAAAATTACATTACAAATATCATAAATGTATTAGAAATGTAATTTTAAAAAAAATCATAGTATAAAATACAGAAACATATCCATAAAATATATTAAAAACATAAATAATTTCACAGAAAATGGCATAAAAATATAATTAAAATATATTTCTTTAAAGAAATGTAATACTAAATGTAATTTGAAAAAAGGTAATTGATTGGTACGTTTGGAAAAATATCATAACAAATTATCAACACGTAAAAACAAGTTTACTAATGTATCAAATAAGTACAAATCTTTGCACATAAACCATTGAAACTGGGCTAACACCAGTCACTCACCATCACCCAAGTCCCCTGAATAACCTCTCCCCATCGTTTGTGTCCACTATGATCAAAATACTGCTGCTGGTTTATAAAGCACTGAATGGTTTAGGCCCTAAATACATTTCTGATCTTCTGCTAAATTATGAACCATCCAGATCTCTCAGGTCTTCAGGGACTGGTCAGCTTTCTGTCCCCAGAGTCAGAACTAAACATGGAGAAGCAGCGTTCAGTTATTATGCTCCAAATATCTGGAACAAACTCCCAGAAACCTGCAGGTCCGCTGCAACTCTGACTACTTTTAAATCCAGGCTGAAGACTTTTCTTTTTGCCGCTGCTTGAAACTGAGCGGTTGTGTTTCGTTTTTGGTTAATGGACATTTGGGGCTGGTAACCCCAGGGAATCAGTGTCTGGGGACTTAGTCCTGGCTGGTTTTCTCTGTGTATGCTGCTCGCTTTTTAATAATTTTTGTAAAGCTCCTTGAATTGCCTTGAAAGGTGCTATATAAATAAACTTGCCTTGCCTTGCCTATGATCGCCTGTTTTTTTGTTTTATCGTGTTCTGTTGCCTTTAACCTCTTGGAGTATTTACTAAGTTGTGTGGTGTCCTTGGGTGTCATGAAAGGCGCCCTTAAATAAAATGTATTATATGTATTATTTTAACTGTACATTAGCAATCTCACCAGTGTTTCATTCACTAAATACAATTAACGTATTTTTGTTGTTAAACCTATTAGTTGGGCATGTTCTTCAATCTTCACCCTTTATTAGTGTCTCCTGAAAAATCTGTATTATATTACTCATCTCACAGACAGCTAACAGCCTGAAGAGGGCATGATACTCAAACAGTGCCCTGTGTGTGTGTGTGTGTGTGTGTGTGTGTGTTTTATCAGAATGTATTATTTCTCTTTAAGGCATGTAGCAGTAATCCATTACTCCACAAGTGTGCCGATTGCCAACATACTCACTTATATTCTCAGGGTGATGAAGAGCTACTCGTGGTGATCAGTGACTACAGATGGCATCCACAACCTGAAAACATGACTCAGAACATAACAGATTGATTTAACACCACGTGCTCCTGCAGCCATGAAATGTTTTCTGAGCAAATACACATGCTGCTTTGTATATTATGTTAAATTATTCACATCTGTCTCTTACACTTCACACACAATAAATGTAGCAAGAGAGACATGGACTTATTATGAGACCAAGGACCCGTGAAGCATTATGAATATTTTCCCCTTTTCGTGTCTCGTTTTGTCTGTTTTTGTGGTCATTTCCCCTTTTCTTTAGTTGTTTTGCATGCAGAACAGTGTGACTAACAGCGTGACCTTAACTTTAAAGGTGGGGTAGGTAAATTTGAGAAACCGGCTCGAGATACACTTTTTGTTATATTCCATGGAATGCTCTTAACATCCCGATAGCAATGAATATCTTAAGTGCTTTGACAAAAAATCAAATCCATACAAAAAAATGTCATCTGTGGAAGCCGTAATCTGTGCACAAATGTATCTCGTGCCCTCATAGATGAGAGTAACACCTACGTCACTTCCGGGCAAAAATTACGGCCCCGCCCACTTTTGGGGGAAAACAACGCTGTCATTTGAATGGCGGTCAATACAAATTCTGAAGTTTTTGCCAATCCGATCAAATTTTTTGGAAAACCGTGGATTTTGGGATCTTCAAAGAGCCCGATTACGATGGCCAGTCAGGCAAACAATTACATTCGATCATTGGTAATCGACAATCGGTCTTGATATATGGTTAAATTAAAATCAGTAGGCGAGGCTGTAATTTCTCCAGCTGTTACTCTCATGAGCAAGGCGGAACATAATAGTTTTATCATGCCAAAAAGCTGCTGTGTCGTTTATTGCACCTCAAACATTAAAAATAATCAAGAGTTCAGTGTTTCTGTACTTCCTCTAAGAACAAAGGACAGTAAAAGAAGAGCTCTGTGGCTTCAGGCTCGATCGCCATTCAAATGACAGCGTTGTTTCCCCCAAAAGTGGGCGGGGCCGTAAAGTGACGTAGATGTTACTCTCATCTATGAAAATCGATGGCCTACTGCTATATTTAACCATATATCGAGCCCGATCGTCGATTTATAATGGCTTAATGCAATTGTTTGCCCGTCTGGCCATTGGAATCGGGCTCTTTGAAGATCCAAAAATCTCCGGTTTTCTTAAATTTCTGATCGGATTGGCAAAAACTTCAGAATTTGTATTGACCGCCATGCAAATGACAGCGTTGTTTTCCCCCAAAAGTGGGCGGAGCCGTTATTTTTGCCCGGAAGTGACGCATTTGTTACTCTCATCTATTGGTCATGTGCGCGTTCGTGTGTGTTGGAGGAGGGGCTCTGTAAGGAAGTGGCAGATTTTTTCCGGTTGTGTATTTTCAAATTCTAGCGCACTCGAGCTGGTTTCTCCAAAATTACCTACCCCACCTTTAATAAAGTCCGAGATGTCTCCTGGACGTTAAAGCCCCAGTATTATGCTTTTATTAGCATTTAAAAGAACAGCAGCATTACACCGTGTATAAAGCATGCAGGGTCTGATTGGGGTTTAATGAGAAATACTTATTGAATGATTATTTCTCCTGAGATTTCATGAAGTGGAGTCTGCTTAATTAAAAACACATGTTGCCATTTTGCTGTAGACAAGTTTATAATTAGGATGTCCCTTAGCTGCCACTGAACATCCTCATTTTTAAATAATGCAAGATAAGAATTACTGTCATGCTTAATGGAGGAGAGAACATGTTAAAAGAAGTCTAGTGTTTAATCACTGTTCCTATTTCTAGTCACGCTAGTGAAATGACCTTTATATATACAGTCTATGGAAATGACTCATGCCAATGAACATACAGTTGCACTTGCACATGATTTAATTTGCCTTTCTGATGCATTGTTTACGGTGCAAAATGTTACAACAGCCCAAAACATTTCCATTAGGAGAAATGCGCTACAGTTTTAGAAACGATGTAAATATAAAAACACTATATGTGCAAAATCCTCCTGATATTACTGCAGATCTGCTGTAAGCTAGCTAGCTAACGTAGCTAACCTGGTCATACTAACAACACACTTACAGTTATGAAACCCTGAACTTCACCAAGCACTCGGGTCCCAGCTGTGTGCGTCACTTTTTACTGTCCCCATGGTTTCCGTTGTGTTTTGAGCTTCTTACAGCGTTTCTTTATGCAGCGCTAAAGTTGTCAAGTTGGTGGAGATGTTTCTTCATTTGATGTGTTTTGGCACATTTATGTTTTATATTCGCATCGTTTTTGAAGCTGCAACCATTTATTCCACTGTAAGTGTTTTGGGCCTACAACGTGTTTGCAAGGGTCAGCCACCATAGAAATTGAATAGTGTGGTGACCACCTATTAATACACTGGGACATAATTCATACATGGAACTACAGTTGGGGCTATTGTTCCCACACGGACATGTTATGTGTTTACTATATATGTTGTGTGCCCTCCTGACTTCACTCTCTTGTCGTCCCGGGCAGCGACCCAACAACATCTACATTTCTGCTGCTCATTAAAGCAAGCTTTGTACCTCCATTGCACCGCCTCCGACTCCCTATCTCTCGGCACTACAATAGGAAAATAAACATCCAAAAGAAAACTCTCCCTGTTTAGTCTCACAAAAAGCCCTAGTGGTTAATAATTCACACACTGTTTTGTTGTTGATCTGCAGAAGTCACTCTGCTGTGTGTGCACCATCTTATCAAAGGATTTAGCTGACTGCCTATTGAATGTGTAATGCATTCAGGAGTTCGCTGTGCAGAGGCCCAAATAAATCAAAGTAATTAACTCAATAATTGATTTGATGAATTTCCCCGCAAAATCGAGACATTTCTGCCAAAACTGCAGAACCATGCAGCTGTCGGAGCGTGGGGAAATCACTCAGAGAGAGATCTTTGCATAAACAATGGGGATATTGTGCCAGAGGGTAAATCACTTTTAGTTATGAGACAGTGGAGTGGTGCGAGCCTTTAATCGATGATTGAGAGGTGGATGTGTTCCAGTCAGATGTAGGAATAAATCAGAGAACACTTCCTGTCAAGCATAAAATGATCAAATCTCAAATGTGATTTAACTAAAATGAGCTTCTTATAATTACCGTACACACAGCTCTGAGTTAATTACCTTACTTGTCTTGCTTACAGACAGAACGTTTGAATATTCTCTCTGATGTTGGAAAATAAAAAAAGGCTGATCCTGTTTCAGGTTGTTAGGTTCATCCGAAATCAAAATAAAAGAAACAGTACTGAACATGTTACAGTGTGAACAGTTCCGACTTCTATTTGCACATGAAAAAACTGCAAAAAAATATTTTTAAAATACTTGAAATATCTCAAAAAAAGTGTATATCCTTGTTACGTTCCCTAATGGTCTAGGC